ATGTAAGATATATGGAACTTTACAACAAGTAAAGCACTGAATATGCCCTGGATGGTAATATTTTCATAACCATTTTTGTTCACTCTGTTTTGTCCCTCTTTCCATCTTGCCTGCCTTCCTCCCCTTGCAAATTTTTCTGATTGTGTGGATTTGAGAAGATGCTTTTACTGGGGGGTAGGCCTTATTAAAGGTGTAATTCTTGCATTTCAATCTGCCTTTGGTTTGATCCCCTATAGTAAGAGGTTCCGCATCCGTAATTCTGGCACTTAAAATAGTCCCTTAAACCTGAGAGCCTTATCCTGAGTTGTTCTAGTTGAAGCTTCCCTATGGAGTACAGTCCTCCTGAGAACGAAGTCATGGCTTTATCCAAGCTCTACGTATTGTACTGCTCGGCTCCCTCATTTGGCTCCCCATCAGCAGCAACCTAACAAACCTTATCTTTAGTCTTCTGTTACATCATCAACTATGTTGCAAAACTAGAATTTTTAGTCAAATAAAACTCCATTCATAGCAGTGGGAAAGAAATCATTGCATGTGGCAGATGAGGAAAGTGAAGTGGTAAGGAGAAACCTTTTATTTTCAGGCTTTTAAGAAGCTTTTGGAAACATATAAGCTTAAGCAAACATAATTGTCAGCTTCTTTCTGAATAGAGGAGTAAATAAAGTTCCAAAGGCAAAAACTTATAGTTGTATAATACTGACTGCTTTTAAATGCTGTCAAATGCCTGGGTTTGGTCAGTGTGTCTACCCTTGTTTTAATTGTGTTATCAATAAGTTACTGCACTATGAATCTGATGTGCTCTGTATATGTGCTTTATTACACTGTGAAGCTGGCTTTTTTCAGACCACAGAACATATCTGACAGTAAGTGTCAAATATTTCTAACACTTGGTTCTTGACAATGGCATAGTTGTCCCAGTGAACAGTATGCATTTTGAATACAATTTTTGACAATTTACAGAGGGTATCTAAATAACATACTTGCCATCAATACTGTTCTGTTGTTCTCCCCTGCATGGATAATTTAGGCTGAAATGACCTGTAAATAGCAACAGGTGAATTTCAGTCTTCAGAATTTGGATAGATCCCTGAATTGCTACATAGAGTTGCAGTCTCTGCTTTAGTTCCTGACCACTCGAGTTGTACGTCTCTTTTTTTCCGCGGAATTTGAATGGGAGAGAACTGAAGGAAACGCTTAAGTCTGACCAACTTCCCTCTGATTAGAACTGAAACCAGATGATGGGTACCTGCTTTTAAAAGCAAACTAAATCAAATTCCCCTAATTATTAAGGGTATATGACTTTTGTAAAAGTCAGAAGTTTTAATTCCAAAATGTAAGTAAGATTACGTTTTGACAATAATGGCGTAATTTTTGATTTAGGAAGTATTTGTGTAGGTAACATACTTTACCATCAATGCTTAGCCATTACTAGGAATATGATACAGCCCTTCATGAGAGAGAACAAAAGGACATATATACTGTAATTTTAATTTTTTTTAAAAGTGATGGTTAACCCCCTGTAGAATGCAGTAGAGGTAATGTTACGTTACTTTCCTGTGTGTCCACACTAGCAAAATTAGTACCCCATCTCCGCAACCAACAGTAATGGCACAGATGCAACAGTACTTATCTTTTTGTATAGGACCTTATGTGTTAGGTTTAATCAGGGTTTCATAAGAGCAGTAAAATCCAGAGTCATTTCCACACGAGCACATGCACCTTTACTACTAATGGTGCAGCTGCTTTGTTTCTGGCAGTTGCTGAAATACTAACTTTTATGTAGGTGAATATGGTAAATCCCAAGTTGAATTCCTGTGGAGGTTTCTGGGAATAGGGAAAACTGCTGAAGGGAAGAGGATTTGAATCAGGAAGATTTGGTTTTACATTGGATTATAATTCCTATTTGGGAGTACATCTGGAGAAGAGGGAGGTGGCATTGTATTCCAAAACTCCTATGGCGCTTCACTGAAGTAAAAAACTCAGAGGTTTGATTTGGCTGTTTTATTGCTGAATGTTTGAAGGTCTATATCACTAGTACACACATCCCTAGTTTGGGTAGGATTAAGTTTGCGTATATATTTTATTTCTGGTTTTGATTTATTAGTTTGCTGTGGTGTTCCTGGTACATGTTTAGGTGCGAAATAGTTTGGTATGCTGCTGCTATGCATGGTCAAGAAGTGAACTATGGAGAGCATAAACAGGAAGTGCCAAGGCTTGTAACTTAAAGCAGGAAGTATGAACATGATGTGCATTCTGTTGACGTTCCCTTTAAAGGAATTTTACCATTGCTAGGTATCTTCTGCAAAACCACAATTTTTCACTAGTACAGCTATTTATAGATTAAACTGTAAAACAGAATGCCTATTTGTCAGTCAAGGTATAAGGGGTACATACAGTCTAACTTGGGGCACCTTGAAAGCATACTGTATTGAGGAACAGGAGAGAGTTGTTGAATATTCTCAGAGGTCCACAGGAGATACCTCTTACCCTAAAGATCTAACTTGCTTCTCTCTGGGTGAGGAGGTGACAGCTGCTCCAGTAACACCTCCTGATGACTTCAAGTTCTTTCAGGAGTTACTGGGAAGGATAGAGAGCAGATAAATTGACACTCTCCATTCCAATCTGCCAGACAGATTGGCAATGCAAATAAATGGAGTCATAGAAGCCTGCAAAAGACCTATGGCAGACTTCAGCTTCTCTACTTCCAATGTGAAATGAGCAGAAGAAAAGATACCAAGTCACTCAAAAGGTATTTGAGTAGTTCTACTTGTATCCGACTCCTAGCTCCCTAGTGCTATCTGCAGCACAGGACAAATCCAAGCAGACAGGACCACCTAAAACCACACTCCTGAGGACAAAACCACACTCCTAGAGATTTGACCTCTTAGGTAGAAGGACCTACACTCGGGCATCTCTTCAACTACAGACAATCAACTCTCAAACTCTATTTGCTAAATACGACTATTTAGCCTGGGACAGAGTATAACTGTTCATTGAGCTCCCCTAGGAGGCTAGGGCTGACCTGATAGCCATTGTTTAAGAGGAACAATTAGTAGCCAGAACTCGGCTCCAAGTGGCCTAGGTGTTCCATGGCCATAGATATCACCATGAGAAGGGCATCTTTATTACAATCCTCAAGGATTCTCAAAAGTCCAAATGACTAAAGAAGATCTCCTCTTTGAAAGTCCAGATCTATTGAGCTCCTGCATGGATGAGTTCTTGCATATTGTAAATACTCTAGAGCTGCTCTGATGTTATGCTTAAAGAAGCAAATGGAATCTTTTTAAAGGGGATAAAGCAATAGGCTGCGTTTATGAAATTTAAGCATTGAAATCAGCATATGTTTCCATACGCATGCACATCTAAAGGTTCAGCAGCTGGATCTTATAGTTACCAGTCCTTAGTGTTGCTCAGTCATTTCCAGTGGCCAGCTGAAACTGCACACGAGGGAGGGGGAGCTGGGCTCTGTCAAACGCTTTCGAAGCTCCGATGTTGATGCAGAACGAACCCAAAGTCCCATGGTGATACGCCCTTCTTTTGTAGTGATAAGTCCCCATACAAGTCTATGGACCTTGCTGTGTCACACCAGAGCTGTCAATGACGAGGTATTCAACGTTGCTCTGTTGAGTATTATTCTGAGTTGTTACTAGGAGGATCCACAGCTGTTTCTTATCTGTCCCTTTGGCTCAACTCCTTTTCTCGTCTTTGGGGTGTATGCCTTTGCTTTAGGGTGGTCGATCTGCTATCCAGGTGATTGATGATAAAGTTGGTGCCTCTTGACTCCTCCACTCCCTTCCTGACCATCAACGCCCTTTCCATCAGGAACTGAGGCCCATTCAACTACAGCCGAGACTACCTCTTTAACATGCCTAAAATATTTGTGTATCTGAGACGTGCAGAGCAGCTATTTGGCACTCAGCCCACATCTTTATCAAACATTATACCCTGGGTTTGGTGATGTGAGCGGTTCTTAGTTAGCTGTAGTTAAGACACAGGACCCGCCTCCTGTTAATTTGGAACTGCTAGCTAGTCTCCATAAGAGGGATCACATAAAGACTCAGAGAAAGAACAGTTGCTTACTTTACAAGTAATTGTGATTCTTTGTTTTGTCTGCGTGGATCCCAGAAGTTACGGATTACAACAGGGGACTGATCATCTGGGCTCTTTCGTTCTATAGACAACTGTTTTGGCCAAGTTACTTTGCTGTGCTTCAGATTTCTGCTTAAATGGGCATAATATATGTCTTCATCATAAAAGCATTGAGTCTTTATGTTTATAAACCGCTTTGATACTGAAATGAAAGTCACCGTAAATGTTTACATTTGTGTTTATCTATTTAGTGTAGAAGTAGCATTTATTTTGCAATCTTTTTTTTTAAATGGGCTGGAAAAAATCATGCTGTCAAGTAGAAATATAATTGTTTCTCTGCTACTGCAGAATTTTATTTGAAGGTAGGTCTATTTGCAGAACTTAACTGGCTTTAAAATCTCTAATCATGGTGATTCCCTTTAATTTTTGGCTAATTTTGTAGAACACCTTTCTTTTTGTCTGTTAGTTGCATAATGTGATCAGAAAACTGTGTAGTATAAAAGTAGCTGAAGTCAAGAATGGGAGTTAAATTTCTGAACTTCTAAAGAGGATTTTGTTCACTTCTCTAACAAAGGCAGAGGTAAAAAATGTTTTCTGCACTTCATCTTTTTCAACCACCCTTCCTGATGGAAAAAAATCTGCTTTTGACCAATATTTTCCTTTGTTTCATGATTGATTCCTGTGGATCAATGATTAAACTGTGAATCAATCTCAGAAATAACCTTTTCCCCTAAAATACACATTTATTTAAGACTACTTTTAGTCTGTCTTGGAATTTTTAATTATTTTGGCACTTTTTCCTGACCATTTGTGTATTTTTTGCGCCAGATGATAAGTTTGAAAATTGTGATATAAAACAATGGTTCCATGAAACGTAACTTTTTTCAGGAATTGTTTGTTCTTTCCTTTAGGATAAAAGATTGCCCTCTCAGAGAAACTTAACCTATGGGGTTTTGTTGGAGCAACAACTCAATGAACTGATGATAGCAGTTAAAGTGCATTTGGCAGCTGACTTTGTCACAGTAACAAGTGACTGCAAGAAGTGACAAACTGCAAAGGATTTGTATGTTCCCTGGCTGCGGAGAATATGCACAGTATCTCAGCTATTGGAGTGGCTGTAGTTTCAACATAGATCAGTTTAGTGCTTGTAAAGATGTCTGTTAGTGCAACAGAGAGTGACCCTCCTAGGTTCTTTGTGGGTGGCGAAGATGGAGATGAATTATTGGATTCATCCAGATCTGTCAACTTCGATCATTTCTATGACCATGCAGAAGAGGAGGATGAAGAGTATGATTCTGTAAGTACTGTAGGAAAGTGTCTTTTTTTTTTTTTTTTTTTTTTAAGGTATAGTTAATGGCATTACTTGAAAATACTAAACGCTGAGAAATATTCTTCTCAGAATTTACGGGTACTGTGCTCATAATATGCATTAGGAGTTTGATTCTGCTAGTTCCTGAGGCATTAGACTCAACCCAGCAAAATATTTGAGCACATGCTTAACTTAAATCATGAGTAGTCTACTAAATTCAAAGTTAAGCATGTGATTAAGTGCTTTGGTCAGTTGGAGCCAGGTAGCTCAGAATCTTGCAGGACTGAGTCCTTTGTGCAACATGTAGAAATAAAGGCATCAAAAAAAATAACATGACTTTATGGTCTTAGAATAAGTATGCCTACTAGCATATTTGTAGCTACTTTCTGTTGCTGCTACAGGACTCTTATTAGGTCTTCATCAGTGTAGTATAAAAGTACCGACTCAGATTACTTTAAAAAGATGGGGTCTTAATGGCTGCTGTTGGTAAGTCAAGATATTAACCCAGAGAAAAAAATATTTTTATAAAAATACTTCAATTTAGAAAATCACTGATTAAGGTCCTTGTTTCAGCTTTAATATGAAATCATGTTATATGAAGAAAGTCACATGCTAATAAACTCTAAAAAAAAAAAAAATTCTGAATTTTTTTTCCCTTGTATGTTGCTTCAAGGTCACATATGTGCAATTTTCTGGTGCTACAAGTTTGTCCGTAAGCAAGTACTCAGCCTCTGAAATCTTGCAATTTAATTTACATTGTACTGTACTGTGCTTCTAAAGCAGTGATCTAAAATTGATACTTGGGTGATCGTATGGTCACTCATGATTATCATGGTAGGGTAGTGGATGGAAAATAAGTAAGATTTTTTTCATTCCCTCAATTATTCCTCATTTTCCAGTAATTGACAGCCACCTTTCCACTCTCCTGTTGTTTATTACACTGGTCTCTAGAAACTCTCACAAGGAAGTAGGTTTATTTTATTTTTATTTATTTAAAGCATCAATAGATGGTCTTTCGGAAGGTTCTGAGCTTGGAGTTACAGTTGGTGTATTTGCTAACATCTTAGCTTGACTGATATAGCAGTTCTTGCTTTGCAGTCCATCTAAATTATTATGCTATAACTCTTTAAAACTACAGTTCATAGCTCAGCCTTTGCTTCAAAATAATACTAGCAGATGCATAACTTCTGACTTCTACAGGAAGTGGTCACTAGACTACATTTTCATTGATTGTGGGCATGTTTGCTTATAAGCTAAGCACAATAAACTGTTAATGAATCATAAGGCTGCACAGTTAAAATCTATTTGGAAATGCAAACTAAGCATCCAATAGCATTTGATAGCTTGGACTATATTGGCTTTTCATATATTTGTGGTATACATTAAGAAAAAGTTGTACACTACACATTTAAATAAATCCACTTAAAATCGTCACATTTTCTTATCTCTAAAAAATTTGCTTTCCTCTTTTGCTGTTTGAAAGATCCACTGAAAAAAGGAGAAACCAATATAAAGAGAGAGTGTGAAACTGTCTATACAGGAAGTGTTGTGACATGCACAAAGTAAACAGGAAAACTAGAGATTTTTCTCTAATCTGTTACAATAATCCTACTTTACTTGTAACAATAGTGTGTAATAAAATAAAAGGAGGTTTGGAGCTTCTAGGTATGTCTAAATTATTTACATTAATTTCCAAGGGATTCTTCTGCATAATCTCATTTGGGTTTTGACATTCACAGCTCAGTTTTTGATTCTCTCAAATTTGTGCCTGAGAAAAGGACCCATAACAATATTCGTAAGTGTGCGGTAGTGCACCTGAACTGGTAAAGAATTATTGCAACACCAGTACTGCTGACAGTTTGTCAGGTCATTCTTCACGTGGCAATAGTAAGGCAAATTGTTAAACACTGTTTTTTCTGAACATCTAATATTGCAAATTGCTAGATGATGGATTAAAAGTAAAATCTACAAATGTTGGACTGAAATATAACGTCCCTGTTAATTGACTAGTAAAGCACTTATTGTACGCTGGGAATACTTAATCACTTTCACTACCACCACAAACAAAAAAAACCCCAAACCACTAACTCTTAACTTTATTTTTTGTGTTAGCCACCAGAAAGGCTGATTGTGGTTGGGATATGTTCCATGGCAAAGAAATCCAAGTCCAAACCAATGAACGAAATTCTGGAACGCCTCTCCATGTTTAAGTACATCACAGTGGTAATATTTGAAGAGGATGTCATTTTGAATGAACCTGTAGAAAACTGGCCTTTATGTGACTGTCTCATTTCTTTTCATTCTAAAGGTAAAGCTTTTCAAGTAGTAACATGAACCTCTAACTTCATTTTAGACTTTTTTTTTAAATTCTTTTATATGAATATTTAGCCTAATTACAAGTTTCTAGGGCTTTTTGTTTGGGGTATTTGAAAAATATTAACATCACAATTATAATATTTTAAACCCAGCTTTTAGTATTTCCGTTATTACAGTATTTAAATATTACTGTATTAAATTGTTTGGGATCATCTAGTCTGGTGTGGCTTTTGAAATCTAATGGCTGACCTTGCAAATAACATTTACTTATGAAGCTATCAGATGTACTTGTTCACCTCAGCCCAGTACGCACAGGACCATTCTCACTTAAAGAAATACTTCTGTACATCTCTTGAGGAATCTTGCTCTATAAACAACTTTCATTTTGGATAGTCACATCCCTCTACCTCTTCCTTCTGTATACTGGCAAAATACCAAATTATTCAGTGACTGGAGACGTAGAACATAGTTTTCTAATGGTTGGAACAAAAGGGCAAGGAGCCAGAGGAAAAGAGTTTTCTGGTAGTCTAACTTGATTTACTGGGTTACTAGGCTACTCTGACTTTTGTGCTTAGGTCAATTCAGCTATAGATCACACTGATTAAAACAAAAATAAAAAAACCTCTACTCATTCAGGTCATATGTATAATATTGAAATTTGGGGTTTTTTTTAGCCAAATACTTAAACATGGCACTAATAAGTTAATATATATTCCTTAATAAACCTTATTTAGGATTTCCACTGGACAAAGCAGTTGCCTATGCAAAACTCAGGAATCCGTTTGTAATCAATGACTTGAATATGCAGTATCGCATACAAGATAGGTAAGTAATAACTACAAATCAGATATAAACCACTTCAGCTCTATTTTGCTGAAAATCAGCAAATAAAATAAGTATTTAAGACTGTGAAATACTGGAGATATGTAATCTCAATCATCACAATGACAACACCAATATGTGCATCATTCTAGAGTAGACATTTGACAGTATCTCAAGTGTGTGTGTGTGTGTATATATATATACACATATTCTTATGTTCTTACATACATGTAGAAGACAATAAATTACAAAACAAATGACTAGTAAATAATAAATAGGTGTATCTTGTTGACCGTAATCTGGTATTGGACTGTACTTCCTTTGATCAATACTTTAGAATTATTTATCGCTTTATGTTGCGGTATCTCTTAGAGACCTGGTCTAGGTCAGGACCTCATAGTGCTAGGTTCTGTACAAACATAGTAAATGACAACTCCTGCCTCAAATTGTTTACGGTCTGAAAGTAAATCTAGAATGGAGTAAGGGCGGTGCCTTTCTCAATTTGGAAAGATTTAGCATATAGTGGGTACTACTGCGGTCGAAATAGTAATTGCAAGTTATCTCGCTTAGGTATGTCCCTACTGTCCTTCCCTTACCCACACCAGTTGAGTCTGTGAAGCAAGCAGTGAGATCCTGATGAGTTTTTAAAATTAATTAAATGAGTTTAATTTTTTTTACTTTCCACTTTGTTCTGTGTAATTGAGCTGTAGCTCACGAAAGCTTATGCTCAAATAAATTGGTTAGTCTCTAAGGTGCCACATGTTACTCTGAAACCAGTCTCAAAGTATTATTCCATGAGCATTTCACTTTGTCGTTGCACAAGACACTTAGTGACAAACATTGAAAGATATTAGCAAGGGTCAGGGCCAGACCACGCGTTTCCCAGAAGCCGCAGCATGGCCCCCCTCTGGCTCCTATGTACTCCAATGGGAGCTGCAGGGGCGCTGCCTGCAGATGAGGCAGCATGCAGATCTGCCCTACCGTGCATAGGAGCCAGAGAAGGGACATGCCACTGCTTCCAGGAGCCACTTGAGGTAAGAGCCGCTCGGAGCCTGCACCCCCTGAGTCTCTCCCGAGCCCCAACCCCTTGTCCCAGCCCTGATCCCCCTCCTGCTCTCCAGACCCCTCGATCCCAGCCTGGAGCACCCTCCTGCACCCCAGACCTCTCATCTTCAGCCCCACCCCAGAGCCTGCACCCCCAGCCGGAACCTGCACCTCTTCCCGCATCCGTGCTCCAGCCCTGATCTCCCTGCAGCCCTCCGAACCCCTCGGTCTCAGCCCAGAGCATTCTCCTACACTCCAAACTCCTCATCCCAAGCCCCACCCCATAGCTCGCTCTCCAGCCCCAATTTTGTGAGCATTGATGGCCCATCATATGATTTCTATTTCCCGATGTGGCCCTCGGGCCAAAAAGTTTGCCTGTATTAAACAGATGAGTCTCACTGACATGCACAGAGAAGTTAGCTATGTCCCAAAAAGTCAGCTGTTACAGTTCATATACTATTTGTTATACTTATGTACAACATTATTTGTCGAGTTCATGTGGTTTATTTGCTAAGTTTTTATCTAAAAAACTTATACAAAGCAAAAGCCTGTTCAGATGTTAGTGTTCCGAGTCCCCATTGTCATCCAAAGTATCTTCCCTGTCTGCATCACGAGCTGGAGAAGAGTTCTGGGTAGCTCAAAAGCTTGTCTCTTTCACCAACAGAAATTGGTCCAATTAAAGATATTATCTGACCCACGTTTTCTCTTTCCATCATGAAAAGCAAATATTAACAAATGAATAGTATAGAAACACTGGAGCCTTTTGTATAGTTAAAAAAAAAAAAAAGTAAAATTTCAAACACAACAGTAGTTGCAACAATGCACAAGCATTTCAACAAATTTGGAATTGCACTTGCATTGAATAAGTCTCTCCGTACTCTGCTGGTCCAGTCTTGTGACAAGCTAAAAATGTTGGTATTGCAATTTGCACTGGTTCAGTGACATTGGTGTGAAGTGCAACTGTCTAAATAGACATCCCTTAAAGCACTGTGTACGTGAACAGAGTACCATGATAGTTATTATATAAAGTAAGCTTTGTGTTTCATGAACTATAAAATGTAAAAATGGTTCGAACTTTGTCGCTTTGGTTGGATAACTTTTGTGCTCTTCTTTTAGGAGAGAAGTGTATAGCATCCTCAAAGCTGAAGGCATTTTACTTCCTCGTTATGCAATTCTGAACCGTGATCCAAACAATCCCAAAGGTAACAGATTTTCTTAACTTTCTTATTAAGGTCCTATTTTTACAACTTGGAATATTTTGTTAAACATTTTGAATAGTAACCTTTAACTTACTGAACCCTCTGCTTGCCTGCACCCACTTCTGTGCCCCCTGCCTTTAATTCAGTCAATGACTTCCTGCTCATTGCAAGGGGGAAGGAGATGGGGAGGAGCAGATGCTTACAGCAAAAGTTCCCTACAAAATGCAGTTTGTAACTTTGCTATGGAGATGCTTCTAACTTTTGGACTTGCCATGGTCCATCAGAAGCAGTCCCATCCTGAATAACTTTACCAGTCTGGCTGGTTGGTCTCCCTCTGCCCAGTATAATGAGACCACAGAAGGCACAGGATACTGGGAGACAGTAGGAGGAGCTAATATTTTGAGCTGGCTGAGGGCTGTTGTTCTGAAGCATGCTAGGGATGAATTGGTACCAAGGAGCCTGCACAGACAATGTGTTAACGCGTCAAAAGACTTACAACAAAGATGTTGCTCCTGGGCTAAAAGGGTCAACATCAACAGTTATGGCAAATATGCAAATAACTTCATAATGAAACCAGGCTGTCCAAGCTTCTATTGATCTAACTAAGGTATCTGAACGCTACACAGTCTAATGTATTTATACTCACAACACACCTGTCAGGCAGGAAAGTGCTACTATTTATTTTTTACAGATGGGAATTGAAGTACAGAGACTGTATTTAATTAAATAAATACTGCTGGGAATTTTGTGATTAAGAGACACTTAATTTCCCAGATATAGATAGGATGACAAATGCCACAGTACGAGTAATAGGGCCTAGATTTTCCTTAATGTGATAGCTGACAGATTTCGACACCAAATAGTCACCAAACCAACAAGAGGTGATGCCATTTTAGATTTTGTATTGATGGATAGTTGAGGACCTCATAGAAGAACTCGTGGTTGGAGACAACCTTGGTTTGAGGGATCATGAACTAATTCAGTTTAAACCAAATGGAAGGAGAAACAACAATAGGTCTGCAACTAGGGTCCTTGATTTCAAATGGGAAAACTTTTAAAAATTAAGAGAATTAGGGAAGTGGACTGTACTGTACTGGAGAACTTAAGGATCTGAATGTGGAGGAGGCTTGGAATTACTTTAAGTCAAGGTTGCAAAAGCTATCGGAAGCCTGCATCCCAAGCAAGGACAAAAAATTCATGGGGAGAGGTTGCAGAGCAAACTGGATGAGCAAGCATCTCAAACAGTTGATTAAGAGAAAGCAGAAAGCCTACAAGGAGTTTGGAAGATAGGATGAATTAGCAAGGAAAGCTACCTCTTGGAGATCAGAAAGTGTAACTGTCTGGCTGGTGGTTCTTGCTGACATGCTCTGGGTCCAACTGATCACCATATTTGGGGTTGGGAGGGAATTTTCTCCCTGGATTAAATTGGCACAGATTTTGGGTGGGTTTTTTTGTTTGTTTGGTTTTTTTTGGTTTATTTTTGCCTTCCCCTGCAGCATGGGTCACTTGCAGGTTTAAAGTATAGTAAATGGATTTTCTGTAACTTGAAGTCTTTAAATCATGATTTGAGGACTTCCGTAACTCAGCTAGATGTTAGGGGTCTATTATAGGAGAGGGTGGGTGAGGTTCTGTGCCTGTAGTATGCAGGAGGTCAGACTAGATGATTTTGATGGTTCTTTCTGTCCTTAAAGTCTGAGTCCTTGAGAGGCAGTCTTGAAAATTCACCTTTTTTAAAAAAACCAGAAGTTTCTTCCTCACTAGAAGTGCAAATCTCAGTGCATCCTTAACTGCGTATCAGCCTACTGATGATTCCCTAATACTTTAAAAAAAAAATGTATCAAATTTTAGTTTTTATGTAAATCTTGTAAGATGTTATAGCTAAAACTGAGAGAATCCACAAAAAAAGGGTTTAGGGAACTTTGGGATTGAGGGAAATTCCACAGTTGTGTTCCCTGAATATAACTAATTTCCTCTTTTGCGGGGGAGAGGAAGGGGGGGGGGAGTTGAATGGTCTGTCATAAAAACTGGAAAAACTATGAAGTTTTGAAGGCAAGCTGAGAGCATAGGTCAGAATTTTCCAAAATTATCGGTAATTTTAAAGTAAAACATTAAGTGCCTCAAGCACTTTCAGTTGATTTTCAGTGAAGTATAAATCACTTTTGAAAATAGGGCTTGGGCTCATAAGTTAATGAGGCATTTTTGGAAAATTGTACCCATTGGTACCTCAAAATTTGGAAGCTTAACTTGACTCCTGTTAGAGATCTGAATTTCAAAAAGTTCCGAGTACCCCAGATTAGAAACTGTTAAAATAATACAATGGGACAGTCGAACTTCAGACTTGGTGTAACAAAATATAACACAGCTAGACGGACAGGAGTTAGAGCATTAAGATAACCCGGCAAAAGCTAGTGGAAAGTATAATTTTTTTGTTAATGTTGTGTGTGTATATAGACTCAGTATTTCATGTCACTGCAATAGAAAGTCATAAAAGGATTTGAATGAGGAGAGACTATGGCCTGGTATCTTACCTCAGGAAAGGCATTTCACATATAAGGGCAGCTTGAAAGAAAATGGGATATTTGAAGTGGACTAATGGATATTGAGACTGGTATCACTAAGATGGTTTGGCAGGAAGGCTATTAGAGACCCATTTTTGGAGAAATGGATGTCCCTTGCCTACTAGGTCTTAATCACGTTTATAGTAGAGACATTGAACCTGGATCCTTCTAATATATATGGACAAATATTCTCACACCTAATGTTGCCAGGAGAGGGAAGAAGGAATGAAGATGTAAATATAGCTGTGATAGCCATAAATGAAACAATCTTACTTCAAGAATAATTCATAAAGTCACTTACTTACATCATCCATTTAACTATTGAAGTCTCTTTGTTGCCCCCCTTTTTATTGTGTATTGCATTTGAGTCCAGTACAGGCACTCACTTTCATCAGATTCTAGCTCTTGTATCATAAACTTTTTAAAATACAAACCACAGCCAGGAAATTGCACACGGCCTGCTTAAGCAAATATTGTAGCTGGCTGGACTTTGTGCAATAGGCAACTTGAAAAAAGTGAACTCAATTCAGTTAGAAATTGCAATACAAGGTACTGAAAGTTTGCCAAGTGTTTCTGTATCCATTATGATGCAGTCTTACAGTTTATTCCATTAATAGATACTTAGTTTCAGAGATTTTAAGATTTTTGTATTTTTAATTTCATTGGTGGTAGAATTATAGCATGCTATATAAGTTATCTCAAAAATCTGAATTTCTATCTAAGGGTTAGTTTTTAATTTAATATATGGCAGTGAACATGGTTGGTTTGAGATGATTAAAGACACTTTGGGACAGAGCATTCATAAAAATAGTACAATATTTGAAACGGAACAGAATTATTTCTTGAGGTTATGTACAAGGATATGCATCTTCTTGAGGTAAGAGGGTGAGGGGAGAGATGCTAAGGTGAAGAAAACATTGATATGCCAAGGCTGGCTCTGCCCAGTGTGGAAGGATGTGACAATGATGGCTTCTTTCCCTGTTCTGTAATACCAAGGGGATTGTTATGAGCAGGTGTTTCAGAATAGAGGCTGGCGCTCTCTCTCCCTGAAATTGAGGGACTGAGGCAAGCAGAGTGGATTAAAAAAAGATCAGTGATTTAAAAATCTTTTTTTAATAGCATTTTTTGTTAAAATACAATAGTTTTCTTTTAAAACTTTTCAATTAAATTTGAAACTATCATAACTCACATTAAGAACGAAACTTGCTATAATTTATTAAAAAATCGTTAAAATACAATGGAAAAAATCAGGCAATACATGTTTGCCGCCAAAGTTTTAAAAGACAGACCAGTGAACTTGTGGAATTCGCTGGCTAAGCATGTGGAACCAGTGTTTGTTGAAGCCCTGGACTTGACTTTGGTAGCAGTAGCTTCTTCTGCAGGCTCAGAGAATATTTTCTTTATTCAGTTTATTCAACTAGTTGAGTTCAGCGACTAGTTAATCAAATGTTGAGAATCCGATTGGGAGCTGAAAAAGTAGGAAAGCTTATTTTTCTCTTCCACTATATGAATAAAAACGAGGTTTAGAGGATGAGATCTATTAGTTCTAAAATCTGGAAGGACATGGTTACCAGAAACAGTCAGTTCAGTTCACTAACTATTGGTAATACATCCTTTTTTTAAATACAGATCAGTTTTAAATGTAAAACATGTTTTGAAAAACTCCTTCTTCTTATGTATCATGCACATTTAAGGTAGTTTTATTTAACAAATAAACAATTTTAAAATGCTAGTTTTATACCTTTTTAATTGAATTCAAGTTTCCATCCACAAATGACAAATCATGAATAGAAAATCAATCTAGTACATAAGAAATGTATCATTCACCATTTTCTGCCTTAATAAATGGATCAATTAAGCACCTGAATAAATGTATGTTCAATTATATAATTGCTTAAATAAATGTGTATAGGTAGCAAAAAGAAGTACTAAATTACACCAACCATTGGGAATCTGCCTTTCTTTAGGAAAATAATGTACAAAGGCAAAATGTGATTAAAATTGGTGATTTAAATCAAAGTTTCATATATGCTCATTTAACTCATAATTAAATTGCTTTGGTTTAAATCACTCCACACAGGAAGCAGGGGTGGTAGAGATGCTGGTGCGTTCTTTCTCTGTGCCTAAATGGTGCTTGTAAGTCACTGTTGCACTGAGAAAGTACTTCCCAGTGACCCGCAGGGAAGAAACACAGATACTCCCCAGCCAAAGTGAGTTCCCTTCCTGCACCAATATGGATGGCAGAGAGCTGCTAAGTTATGGAGAGGAGGGTGATGAGCAGGCAACAGTGCACCAAAGTTCACTGGTTAAGTGTTTTAGGGCTGGGCTGAGCCCAGCACTGATTGAATTGAATAGAATAGAGTAGAGGCCCATCCCCAGTTTGTAGCAGGGAGATTTTCTGGTGCCAAATCTGGGTCTGTTCTTAGTACTTCCTTCCTTGAATAACTGCTCCAAACATGATTTATAAGAACTTAAATTGGTGATTCCATTTCAATAGTTCAATATTTTTCTTGTCTTAAACTGAAGACTAAAGATATTAATTAATTTTTTTGAAAGTGAGCAGTTGTGACTTTTATTGTATACTGTTACCACATGATATCGTCTTTAATTTATGCTCATTTCTCTAGAATGCAATTTGATTGAAGGAGAAGACCAGGTGGAGGTGAATGGGGAAGTTTTCCAAAAGCCATTTGTAGAGAAGCCAGTGAGTGCCGAGGACCACAATGTATACATTTATTATCCAACATCTGCTGGCGGTGGAAGCCAAAGGCTTTTTCGAAAGGTGCGGAAATTGCCACACTTAAATTATTTAAAAATGTTTTTGTACTGAATGACTGTAATCTTGGTTCTATTATAGTGACTTAAAAAAACCTGAAACCCCAAAATATTTTTGGAGAATCTGATGCAAATCTATACAAACCAGAATCAAAAGACCAAATTCTCTAGCAGAGGTATGGCCTTTGTACCACAGAAGTTGTATGAAGAGTCTGTAATCTACCTACAGATGCTCAGCAGACGATTTTCTTAACATAGAGGAGGTCCGCTAGGATATCCACACTGCAACCAGGGTTTGCTTCTCTGCCCACCATCTTGTTGTGCATATGAATGGATTTATATTCAAGAATACAAGTTGCCTAATATAGTGGTGGTTTAAACTAAATTGATGAGAGAACATACACAAACTCCTCTTAATGAGGTTGTTGAATTTTCACCTCAAATACTTGAGCAGGTTGGAACTGAAGCTGTTATAGAGATCTGTTGACCTGAATCTGTTGACTAAAACAAGGTTCTTTCTAGTGACAATGCATTCCTACTAACTTTTGATTAATTAAAAAGTCATTGCAATTAACAGTGAGGATGCATACTGAGGCTGGATGTAATGTAACTTTGTGTATAGCCTAAATGTTGTACTGTGTAATTTCAGAATCTGTGCCCTTAATTTGGTAGTGCTGCAGTATATTAGCACAGAGGTAGCATGGTACCATTTTATGGTAAAGAAGTACTCAGTCATTTGGGAAACTTTTTATTTAATATTTTCAACCTCTATTAAATAGATATGACTTCATAGTCAAGTCTTGAGATAGTTTTATGTATTTGTATTGATAAAGCCTTCCTTTGTGGAATATGTTTAGTTAGTTCTCCATAAAACCAGGAGGGGGAGGGAAATTGTGGAAGAAGAGACAGAAATAAGCTCTGAGAGTGTGCATATTTAAGGAGGTGAAAAGGTCTATCTTAAAGAGAGGCTTTAACAGAAAAATATTTGTTTCAGATTGGCAGCAGGAGCAGTGTTTATTCACCTGAAAGCAATGTGAGAAAGACGGGCTCATACATTTATGAGGAGTTCATGCCTACAGATGGCACTGATGTAAAGGTATGAAAACCGCATATTCTGATTTCTATTTAGAACAGTCAAATATTCCAAGACCTTTGGCAGTTTTTGAGATGAAAATGTGTCTTGTGGGGTGGCAGAGCGCAGGCAGGCTCAGACTTTGGTCCCCCCTTGTGGGGGTTGTGTAGTAATTTTTGTTGTCAGAAGGGAGTCATGGTGCAATGAAATTTAAGAATTATTAGTATTAGGAATTATTAGTTAGTAGTAGTAGTAGACATTAGAGGAGTGTTAGTATATTTTAATAAACTATGACTAATTATAAATGTACACTGCTTTGGAGAAAATACACTAACAGTACATTGTTAATGCATTATCCATAGGGTTTTTTTAGTTCATTTTCTTTATATATTTAGTTTTTATTAATTTAGATTTAAAATGAGTATAAAAGACTAGGCATCCTTGCATTATTATTAATAAAATCCCAGCAGCGTTACAGTAATTATTTCAGCAGGAACTCAGTCAGTCACCTACAGAATTTCCTTCCCTTCATTGTATGGGGAATAGATCCTGGAAAGACACCAAATTCATGTTATTTTGGACCATGGGAGGGATCAAGTTCCAGAGTCTCTGAGCCCTTGCTGTGAATGCCCTACCAACAACCCCCTCTTATAATGAAGGAGAGATCCTGCTTGGACACTTTGGTTGCCCACAACTGTGGCAGTATGGCATGTGGAGAGGCAATCTTTCAGGTAGGCCTAGTCCCAGGCTAGGTAGAACTTTATGGGTCATAACCAACATCTTAAACTCCACCTAGAGACCAGAAGGAAGATGGTGCAGTGCAGATCCTAGAGTACTGATCTTGTATACTCCCAGTGAGATGCCTTACTCGGTAAGCAAGCTGCTGCATTGTACACCATTGTCACTCTTCAAATGTTTTTAAGGTGTAGTTCCATATGGAACACATTGCAGTAGCTAATCTTGAGGTTATGAAAGCCTGCATCAGAGCCACCTAGCCAAACACAGATGGTAAAAGGCGGCCTGGGTTGTAATACAGCCAAACAGAAGTTGGGGGTCTAAAATTAACCCTAAGCTGCAAACTCTCATAACTAATGTCTGTATTCCAACAATTAGAGGGACAGATGTTACCTCCACCATCTCATCCAGTTACTTCCCCAACTCTGCTAGGTTGAGCTTTAGCCAGCACACCGTCATCCATTCTCTAATCTCAGTTAGACACTGGCTGAGCTACTGAATCTCATCAGATGTGATGGAGACATACAGTTGGGTATCATCAGCAAGTTTCAAACACCACGCCTCATGCTTTCTAAAAACCTCATATACACAGTGAACAGCTGACAGAATGGAACCATGCCGGAGCCATACCTGAGAATTCTTTGGGAAGAGGAGAAATTGCCCACAGCAATCTGTTGACATCTTGGAGAGAAAAGAATAAAGCTATTGAAGACAGAGTAGTCCTGACAAGTAACACCTCCCTATGATCAGTGGTATCAAAGGCAGCTGATAGAAGTAGTAGTAGTACCTGTATAGACAAATGATCTTCATCCAGGAGGAGATTATTGACCACTGAAGTCTGTGCCAAAGCCATGCCTGTACCTAGTGTGACAATGGCCTAGGAGGTCAAAGACCTCTAGATACAGCGAGAGGTATCTCACCACAACCTTCTCCTGGGAAGGATGTGATAATAGTCAATAATTAGATTGTTAGTGTTAAGCGATGACTTCTTGAGTAAATGTGATGGAGTAAATTTTTGAATTAATTGAGTTTTGGAATTAATTGAGAAACTTAACAGTAACAAGTTGCCAGCACTAGGTGGCATTCACCCAAGAGTTCTGAAAGAACTCAAATGTGAAATTACGGAACTGTTACCTATGGTTTGTAACCTGTCCTTTAAATCAGCTTCTGTACCCAATAACTGGAAGATAGCTAATGTAATGCCAATATTTAAGAAGGGGTCTAGAGGTGATCCTGGCAGTTAGACCAGTAAGTCTAATGTCAGTACTGGGCAAATTTAGTTGAAACAATAGTAAAGAATAAAATTGTCAGACACATAGAAGAACATAAATTGTTGTGCAAAAGTCAACGTGGTTTCTGTAAAGGGAGATCATGTTTTCCTAATCTATTAGTTCTTTGAGGGGGGCAACAAACATGTGGACAAGGGGGACCCAGTGGACATAGTGTACTTAGATTTCCAGAAAGCCTTTGACAAGGTCCCTCACCAAAGGTTCTTACGTAAATTAAGTTGTCATGGGATAAGAGGGAAGATCCTTTCATGGATTGAGAACTGGTTAAAAGACAGGGAACAAAGGGTAGGAATAAATGGTAAATTTTCAGATTGGAGAGGGGTAACTAGTGGTGTTCCCTAAGGGTCAGTCCTAGGACCTATCCTATTCAACTTATTCCTAAATGATCTGGAGAAAGGGGTAAACAGCGAGGTGGCAAAGTTTGCAGATGATACTAAACTGCTCAAGATAGTCAAGACCAAAGCAGACTGTGAAGAGCTTCAAAAAGATCTCACAAAACTAAGTGATTGGTCAACAAAAATGGCAAATGAAATTTAATGTGGATAAATGTAAAGTAATGCACACTGGAAAAAATAACTCCAACTATACATACAATATGATGGGGGGCTAATTTAGCTACAACTAATCAGGAGAAAGATCTTGGAGTCATTGTGGATAGTTCTCTGAAGACGTCCGTGCAGTGTGCAGCGACAGTCAAAAAAACAAACGGGATGTTAGGAATCATTAAAAAAGGGATAGAGAATAAGACGGAGAATATCTTATTGCCCTTATATAAATCCATGGTTCATCCACATCTTGAATACTGTGTACAGATGTGGTCCCCTCATCTCAAAAAGGATATAATAACATTAGAAAAGGTTCAGAAAAGGGCAACTAAAATGATTAGGGGTTTGGAACAGGTCCCAAGTGAGGAGAAATTAGAGGCTAGAACTTTTCAGCTTGGAAAAGAAGAGACTAAGGGTGGATATGATTGAGGCATATAAAATCATGAGTGGTGTGGAGAAAGTGAATAAGGAAAAGTTATTTACTTGTTCCCATAATATAAGAACTAGGGGCCACCAAATTGAATTAATGGGTAGCAGGTTTAAAACAAATAAAAGGAAATTCTTCTTCACTCAGCACACAGTCAACCTGTGAAACCCCTTGCCTGAGGAGGTTGTGAAGGCTAGGACTATAACAGGGTTTAAAAGAGAACTGTATAAATTCATGGAGGTTAAGTCCATTAATGGCTATTAGCCAGGATGAGCAAGGAATGGTGTCCCTAGCTTCTGTTTGTCAGAGGGTGGAGATGGATGGCAGGAGAGAGATCACTTGATCATTACCTGTTAGGTTCACTCCCTCTGGGGCACTTGGCATTGGCCACTGTCGCCAGACAGGATACTGGGCTGGATGGACCTTTGGTCTGACCCAGTATGGCCATTCTTATATTCTAAATGCCACACTACAGCTTCCTTCAAAGTAATAGGCAGCCTGCCAGCTCTCAGGGGCATTAACAGTCTCTAAAAATAAAGGACCCAGTACTTTCCTATTGGCTTTACCACTCAGGAAGGACATATATGCAAAATACAGGTTTTGGTATGAAGTTCTCTCAGTACCTCAGCAAGTATTAGTGGCTGAAATTCTAGCAGAGAAGACAAGGCCCTTTTTCTCGCAAGACCAAACTCTGCCACCACAGAAGCACCCCTAATTTGATCAGTTTTGTCTGCAAAATATCAAGCAATTTCCTCACAACAGGAGGTACTTGGACTAGCTCCCAAGCTGAGATAGTTTGGTAAAACCAGACATTTTACCACTCCAAAAAAATAAATAAAATAAAATAAAATCTGCTGTCTGAGACTTTGCAGGTCCTATGGTGGAGGAAGAGAACTTATTCTTTGTTTCCTGTACTCCCACAGCATATGTGTTTGATCAATTGTAACATAAATGTTTTGGGTTTTTTAAGGCTTAACACAAGACCTCCACCACTGGTGCTCTAGCCATCTTCCTTCCTGCTTTGTTTGTCACTGATAATCCATCAGGCTGGATGTCCTGTGAGCACAAAACAAAGAGGGAGCCTAGAAGCCACCCCATCATTGGTTAGGAGCATTATCTAATTTGCAGTGAGTGTCTCTGACAGGATGCTGTTAAGAGCTTAAAACTGGGTTCTATGGAAACCAGCACCCTGGTCACTTAACCACAGTTGCCTATGTGTTCTAAAAGTGTAGTTAAGGTGTAAGGGAACACTTACACCTGCTGGTGTGCTGTAGATTGAAGGTTGGCCTGTAGTTGGCCACACAGTAACTTGCTGTGTACACAAGCCCTAGTAATGTTTTTGGACGTGTGTATGCAGCTACGTGATTTGAACTTGACATAAACTCGGTGTAACTAAGTTAATAAATTCTAATTTTTAAATAAAGGTGTACACAGTAGGTCCAGACTATGCACATGCTGAAGCGAGGAAGTCCCCAGCTTTGGATGGCAAGGTAGAACGAGACAGTGAAGGAAAAGAAGTGAGATATCCAGTCATCCTGAATGCAAGAGAGAAGTTGATTGCTTGGAAAGTATGCCTTGCATTTAAGGTAAACAGACCACTTACTAGCTGATCAAATGTGTAGTACTAATTGTTTACTGTGTGAAAATTCTGTTTGTCAGTGCTCATAAACAGAGGTATTATTGTTAGAGATCTCCTGGGATGGAAAAAGAAATTGCACTCACGTTTTTTTTCCCCCCTAATCTGGTGGACTTCCCCTGTTTTTAAATAATTAGTTTTTTAATATTCTTACTGCATACTGTCAGAGGAAAACCTATTCTACTGCAACATCTTCATAAGTTGCTCTGTCTATGCTGGAAAGAAGGCAGAGTACCACAAGAACTGAGACACCAACATCATCAGTCTATAAAAACAGGGGTGACAGGAGTGACACTAACAACTATCATGGCATTTCCCTTCTTAGCATTATGGGAAAAGTTTTTGCCCAAATTGTCCCAAATAGACTTCAGACCCTTGCAGACAAAATCTATCCTGAATCATGGTGCGGCTTCACAGCTGAAAGATCTACTATTGACATGATCTTCTTGCTGAGACAATTACAAACAAAAAAAAAAAGAACAAAAAAAGCCACTTTACATAGCCTTTGTCGATCTCACGAAGGCTTTTGACCTTGTCAGTAGAGGCGGACTATTTACGCTTCTAGAAAAGATTGGATTACCCCCCGCAAGCTCTCAAGCATGATTTGATCCTTCCATGAAAACATGTATGGCATAGTTCAATACAACAGCTCAGTCTGGGAGGCTTTCCAGATACGTAGTGGAGTTAAGCAAGGTTGTGTACTTGCCCCAGCTCTGTTTGGGATCTTCTTCTCCTTGCTACTGAAACAAGCTTTTGATTTCTCAATTGAGGGAATCTTCTTGCACTCAAGATCTGATGGGAAGCTGTTCAATCTTGCAAGACTCAGATTTCAAACCAAGACTTGGGAGGCCCTTATCCAACACCTCCTCGCTGATGACGCAGCAGTGACAGACCACACAGAAACTCATCTCCAAAACCTTATGGATGTTTTTTCCAAAGCCTGCCAAGACTTTGGGTTTACCATAAGCCTAAAAAGGGTTAATATAATGCTCCAAGGAGTTGAGGAAGCACCCTCCTTCAAGATCAACAACTATGAACTTGAAGTGGTGAACAAGTTCACATAGCTGGGGTCCACTATCACAGTCAACCTTTCACTTGGAATGGAACTCAACATCCACATGGGAAAAGCCACCACAGTGTCTACACCGGGGCTCAAACTCAAATGACCAGGAGGACCACATGAGGACTAGTACATTGGCCCGAGGGCCGCACCACTGACCACCCACCCACACCCCATTCCACCAGCCCTGCCCCTACTCCACCCCTTCCGTGAGGCCCTGCCTCTTCCCACCCCTTCCAGCCCCTTCCCGGAAATCCCCACCCCAACTCCGCCCCCTCCCTGCCCCCAGGGAGGCTCAGGCAGGGGGTCGGGGTGGGGCAGGGGGTCAGGGTGCAAGGTGCCAATGGGAACTTTGGGTGAGGTACCTGGAGGAGCAGCCAAGGCAACACACAAACCCCTGTGCCCTCCTCCTCCCCCCAGGTTCCCAGCCGCTTCCTGGAGCGGCACAAGTGCAGGACAGGAGGCAGGGAGGGAGCCTGCCTTGCCCCCGGTGCGCACCGGGCCGGAGCCACTCTAGGTAAATGGCCGGGGGGCTGTGGGGAGCTGGCAGGCCACAGAAAATAACCCCAGCCCGCAAGCCGCTTGTTTGAGACCCCTGGTCTAGACTAAGAAAGAGGGTATGGCAGAACAACAAACTGACAGAACACACAAAGATCTGTGTGTATTGTGAATGTGTTATCAGCACACTTTTTTTTATGGGAGCGAGATGTTGATCTTGTACTTTCATCAGGAAAAGAGGCTCAACAGCTTTCATACGCGTTGCCTTCATCAAACCTTTGGTATCTCCTGGAAGGACAGAGTCACCAACACTGAGGTGCTTAAGTGGGCCAGCATGCAAACTCTCCTCAACCAGAAAAACAACAAAGAGTCTGGTGGCACCTTAAAGACTAACTGATTTATTTGGGCATAAGCTTTTGTGGGTAAAAAACCCACTTCTTCAGAGGCATGGAGTGAAAATTACAGATGCAGGCATTATTATACTGACACTTGAAGAGAAAGGAGTTACCTCACAAGTGGAGAAGCAGTGTTGACAGGGCCAATTCGATGAGGGTGGATGTAGTCCACTCCCAATAATTGAGGAGGAGGTGTCAATTCCAGGAGAGGCAAAGCTGCTTTTGTAGTGAGCCAGCCACTCCCAGTCCCTATTCAAGCCCTAATTAATGGTGTTAAATTTGCAAATGAATTTTAGTTCTGCAGTTTCTCTTTGAAGTCTGTTTCTGAAGTCTTTGTTGTTCAAGTATGGCTACTTTTAAATCTGTTATAGAATGTCCAGGAAGATTGAAGCTTTCTCCTACTGGCTTTTGTATGTTACCATTCCTGGTGTCCGATTTGTGTCCATTTATTCTTTTACATAGACTGTTTGGTTTGGCCAATGTACATGTCAGAGGGGCATTGCTGGCACATGATGGCATATATCACATTAGTAGATGTGCAGGTATGTCCCTGATGGTGTGGCTGTTGTGGTTGGGTCCTCTGATGGTGTCGCTAGAGTAGATATGGGGACAGAGCAGGCAACGAGGTTTGTTACAGGGATTGGTTCCTGGGTTAGTGTTTCTGTGGTGTGGTGTGTAGTTGCTGGTGAGTATTAGCTTCAGGTTGGGGGCTGTCTGTAAACGAGGACTAGCCTGCTTCTCAAGGTCTGTGAGAGTGAGGGATCGTTTTCCAAGTTAGGTTGTAGATCGTTGATGATGTGATGGAGAGGTTTTAGCTGGGGTCTGTATGTGATGGCCAGTGGTGTTCTGTTGTTTTCCTTGTTGGGCCTGTTCTGTACTAGGTGACTTCTGGGTACCCATCTCTCTCCTCAACCAGAGATGCCTCTGCTGGCTTGGGCATGTGTGCTGAATGAATGATAGCGCATCCCAAATGACATTGTCTACGGCAAATTGACATCTGGAAAAAGACCCAAAGGGCACCCAAAATATTGTGTTAAGGATGTGTGTAAGTGAGACCTCAAAGAAATGGACATGGGCGTGGACAACTGGGAAGATCACACTCAAGAATGCAGCCTTTGGAAACAAGAACTAAACAAAGGTCTCCTGAGTTAAGAGGGGAAGCAGTCCAGCTTAGCAGAGGAGAAAAGAGCTTGCAGAAGGCAGAGCCCAAAGGGTCAAAACATCACTTTTAAATGTGACAGATGCAGCAGAGATTCTCTCTCGAATGGGTCTCTTCAGCCACAACTGCGGCTGCCATTAAAACCAACTGGGTACATTTTTTACCTCTTGGGGTGGATTCCCATGGTCTTTCGAGACTGAAAGATGCCTACTATTGCCATTGTGGACAAATAGAGACAGCTGAATTCAGAAAACTCATACATGAAATATACCACTGTAGATTAATGTGACATGCATATTTTTCTCTCCTGTTTTGCATGTGTGCATGCTAACTTACATTCACTCAGTTTAATTTGTAAAGGATGATTTTTTTTGTATTAAACAAATCCATTTGCATTCAGTTTGCATAATCTTAAATATATGCTTTGTTAGTAACAATGGGCCTTTGTGATGCAGTTGCAGTAAATCACACAGGGGTGGCTCCTAACTGGTGCCAGCACTGGTCCCAGTGCTAGAATATATTAACCTGTAAAGTCTTCAGTGATGTCAGAACCAAGAGTCCCAAATAAAATGTGTAGTTTTTGTATCTGAAAACTAATTTGAAATAATCTGGGAAAGGAGCAAAATATCTTTACTAATAACTATTTAAGGCTTACATCTACACTATGAGCTAGGGCTATGATTCCCCTCCTCGTGTACGCATACTCACACTAGCTCTCAGTAAGCTAGCACAAGTATAATAACAGTGTAGCTATGATAGCACTAGTGGTGACAGCGGAGGCAACAGTACATTCCCACCAATTTCAGTTTGTGTGGTTCTACTCTCACAGCTCTTTGGGATAGGAACTGTCTTTTGTTCTGTGTTTGTATAGAACCTAGCACAGTGGCTCTTGGTACATGACTAGGGCTCCTAGGTGCTACATAATATAAATAATTCTGAAATAATAAATAATATTCTGAAAGGTGACTGTTAAAAATGGCATTACTGCATCAAGTTTATAAATAGCATATTTTTTGGTAATTCTGAGAAATAAGAAGGGTGTGTGTGTGTTTACCTCTCTCCTTATCTCTTACCACTACTAGAAACGATGATTCCACAGTCCAAATTCTGTGGACAGTGGGAGTTCTGAAGATAATGTGGATGCAAAAGTGTAACGGAAAGCAGAATTTGGCCTGCAGAATTCATGTTGCTAGTGGTGTGTGAGAAGTTAAGAACTCAGGTTGGGATGTCAGGCATGTAATTAGGAAACATCATGTATAATCTGAACAAATTTAATATGGAGTCACTGAAGAACAATAAATATAGAACCCACAGTGCCATTTTTGTGTTGCCTTTTCAGATCAGAACCATACTTAACATGCAGGTCTGGAAACACGAGACCCTTGACTGAAATGGAAACTGTGCTTTTCACTATTTATTCTTAACAGCAAACAGTTTGTGGCTTTGACTTGTTGCGTGCTAATGGACAGTCCTATGTCTGTGACGTCAATGGCTTCAGTTTTGTGAAGAACTCCATGAAATACTATGATGATTGTGCGAAGATACTTGGGTAAGAGTTCATTAATTGATATTATATGATTGGTGTGTATGTTCATGCAATCATTTGTCTTTGCTATGGAAGTTTTTTCATCCAGTTTCCAAAGTATTTCTGTCTTAAACATTTTTTTTGAGGGCTACTTTTACTCCAGGGTTGAAACAAGTTCAAGGAATCTTTTGGATAGTTTTTTCTTTAAAGCAGAAAAAGCCTTTGCTTTTAAAGCGAGCATCATCTAGAATAACTAGAAATCAAAAATAAATTTCTAAAAGTTTTTTATTTCCATGTGCATTCCCTTATGCCTTAGAAAAGTGACAGTTGCAGAATTCAAAAGTAATCTGAGAACATCTTTGTTAGAGAGAAAAATAAAGAAATATGCTAACTTGTTAAATTTGGTTAACAGATTAACTAACCCAAATAAAAAGTGCAGGTGTGCTGTACAAAGGCTGGTTGAAAGCACACCTTTGCACTGCCTTCGTCCGGGTGCGGCTTTGGGCATGGCTGTTGCTGCCAATGTTATGTTGAGGCAGCCATCAGACTACTGTAATTCATATTGGCTACAACAGCCTAAAGGGCTGAAAATTTAGACCAGGATTGGAGTGAAATAGAAGGATCCTGACTGTGCCTTCCCTTCCTTCAACTGTGCCCCCTTTTCTGTGCTACCATGCCACTGATTTGTCACCCATAAACTAGGGTGATTCTGTGTTGTCCAGTTAAACTGTCTTTACAACAAGATTATACTACTGGTGTAGTTCAAAAAGGCCATACCACGCTGAATTATCTGAGCTGAAAGGAGGGGAATAATTCCTGTTAGATAATAACTACAGTCTTGTTGCTTCGAGTTAGTGGCAGGAATTCTGAAGATTCGCGTGCACTTCTCCAATTTTACACCGTCAACTTAGTCTTGATTCCTACCATGGTGCAAAAAGCTTTCATCTACATTTTTTCCTTATATTCAAAATAGCTTTGTTATAGCAGAGCTAAATCAACAGCATATTTGCACTAAGTTTGGGAAGTCTAGGAATCATTCTTCTTAGATTAAGTATCTAAGATACATTACACCATCCTTTAAAGTTCTCCAGATTCTGTATGAACAATGATATACTTCGGGTTGGTGTACTTTAACATGACACTTACCAGAGTAGATCATAAGAAGCTCTTACAAGAACTTATTATACCTATATTTTACAGATAATGTTAGATTGTTGTCTTTGTAGTTATTGTGACCAGACTTCAATAGTTCAACATAATGGTATTTAAATATTTGAAAAAATAAAAATACATCTGTAAGTGCCCATCCAGTGGTCAGTGTTTGTCTAATAAACTGTTGACTAAAACAGAATATTCCATTTAAAGAAATTAATATATACAGTATTTCAGCATTTTAATTTAGACATACATTTTTGTTTTTCCCCATTTAGAAATATCATAATGCGAGAACTTGCTCCACAATTTCAAATCCCATGGTCAATACCTTTGGAAGCTGAAGATATCCCTATTGTGCCAACCACATCTGGAACAATGTAAGAGAAAAGTATCTTTAGCTGAATTGTGCAAAGTCCTTACATAACCTTTATGTGAATTTTCTCTTCTCCCAAGGTATATCAGCTTTTGGCTAAGGACACTTGTTTTGTGTGCTGAAAACAAGAAGTGAATTGTGATTGCTGTTCCAGCAATCGAAGTTTTTTACCCTTAGTCAAGCTGAGTACAGAACAACAGATTTTCAAGTGTAGTCTGTTCTAAAAATAGCTTGCTTAATTGCTAATCAATATTCTACTGTCAGTTTAACACACATTTTTAATAAACATGCTTTTACTAAATAAACCTCAAAATGGATCTGTTTCAAAAACTATTTAAGATAGATATTCTGTAGTTAGCGAAGTCTTAAAACCAGTATTTATAGTAAATCACATTCTTACATCATTTTCAGATAACCTTATGTTCTTGCATATCCTACAAACATTTCAATACTTAATAAAGTATATTTTTGTCGACTAAATAATTGTCTGTCTGACTCACACATTTAATAATATAAAAACCATGAGTGGTGTATAGAACTGGGAAATGTAACTTGACTTTTTTTTATATTTCAGGATGGAGTTGAGATGTGTTATAGCTGTAATACGTCACGGGGACCGTACACCAAAACAAAAAATGAAAATGGAAGTTAAACATCAAAAGTAAGTCTGAATTTGGGTAAAGACAGACCTTATTTACACATGCAGTAGCATGTAGGGTACATGAGCTACCTACTGCAGTGAGAGGCAGGCTGCATCCATATTCAGTGCGGTGTGTAGCTACACCTAGCAGTGAAAGGCTTCAGTGGGGAAAGGCTCATTACTGGAGCCTTTCTTCCTACTGCCTCCACCATGCAGAGCCTTTCCCTATTGCTGGAGTCTTTCATTGCAGTGGTAAAAAGCTCCAGCAGTGGGACACTACACTGCTAGAAATAGTATTGTAGATATGGGATGCACGGCATGGGCGAGTAGAGAGCCAAGTAGGGTATATACCCTAGCGTTCAGGTAAGTCGGGCATTCTACTAGCCTAAGCAGTGCCTCACCATTTGCACTGCTTTTTATCCCGATACTAGCTGGGCATGCTGTGTTTGTATGTTACGCGCTGCCGTAAGTGTAGACATAACCTAAGTTTGGCATTTAGGGCAAAATTATTGCCTGGGATATGTGGGTTCAACTCAATGAATTCAGTGGGAATTGCACATGCGTATGCACAAACTACATTTAAATCTTAGTGCTTCTTCCTGCATAACATCTCTAAGATGCATCCGTCATCTCGATCTACATAGCTAATTCACTTGCCCACAACTCCGTCTTCTCACATCTCCCGCAACTGTAACCTCCTTCTCTCCAGCCTTGACAATGCAGTTTGTCTAATGCTGCTGCAAAGATCATTTTGCTTTGACCGCATCACCTCTTAATTTCTACCCTTTTTCTGTCTCTCCCTTTTCTGCTGCATCAATTGCAAACTAATAGTCTCTGCTTTTAAGGCCTTCATAAGCTATTGCTTTCCAGTTGTTTCTTGATACCTTTTGTCTCTTGCCTTGTACTTGAAGTGTAAGCATTTTGGGAGGCCAGGGGACCCTCTTTGTTATGCATTTATACAGTACCTAACACAGTGGGACCTTAATCTATGATTAGGTGCTACAGTAATTAATAAAAATATCATTTGAGGGATAGATTCTGCACTCAAATTTTAAGTGAAAGATTTGCTGTAAGTCTGCAGAGCCATATGTTTAGTATTTTATAGCTAATAATGTTGTGTTGATTTTTTTGTTAAATTTTGAACAGATATGGCTGTTTACTCAGGATTCTTCATATCTTTTGTGTAGTACCTGTATTTTTTCAGTGTTAGTAAGCTAATAGAAAAACTGTAAGCTCTTTCATTTTGCAGTTGTGTTTAAGGCATGTGCTAGTGAGATGAGACTTCATTGAACAGAGAGGTTCATATCAGAACAAACTTTCTCATAATTGTGGGGTGTTTAAATTGCGGATTGATGAGGGGGGTTAGTTCCAGCTCTTCATTCTGTTTTAATTGAAAATCTTCCTGTTGCCTTAAAGCAGAGGTGGGCAAACTACATCCGGCCCACAGGACCGTCCTGCCCGTCCCTTGAGCTCCTGGCTGGGGAGGTTAGCCCTCCTCCCCTGCTGTCCCTCCTCCCCCACAGCCTCAGCTCGCCACGCTGCCAGCACTCTGGCCCGCCACTCCTGCCAGGCAGCACAGCAGTGTGGCTGGCTCTGGCCAGGCAGCAGGGCTGCGAGCTCCTGCTGCTCTGAGTGGCATGGGGGGGGGGGGTTGGATAAGGGGCAGGGGGTCCCTGGGGGCAGTCAGGGGACAGGGAGCAGGGGGCAGTTGGATAGGCGTGGGAGTCCCGGGGGGCCTGTCAGGTGGCAGGGGTGTGGATAGTGGTTGGGACAGTCAGGGGACAGGGAGCAGGGGGAGTTGGATAGGGGGTAGGGTCCCGGGGGGGGTCAGGGAAGAAGGAGCAGGGGGGTTGGATGGGCGAAGGTTCTGAGGGGGGGAGGGAAGTGGGAGGGGGCAGATAGTGGGCGGGGGCCAGGCTGTTAGGGGAGACACAGCCTTCCCTACCTGACCCTCCATGCAGTTTTGCAACCCCGATGTGGCCATCAGGCCAAAAAGTTTGCCCACCCCTGCCTTAAAGTGTATTAATATTTATATTAACAGTCTTATTAGATATGTTTTTAATCTGTATGTTTTCTCCTAAAGATTTTTTGATCTCTTTGAAAAATGTGATGGATATAAGTCTGGAAAGCTAAAACTGAAGAAACCAAAACAGTTACAGGTAAGTCTGTCTTGATTTTCTTTTTCTTGGTTCTATAATTGATGAATAATAGAATTCCTTGTTATACAGTGGTTTTGTTTTTGTTTTTTTAGGAGGTGCTTGATATAGCAAGACAGCTCCTACTAGAACTTGGGCAAAACAATGACTCTGAAATTGAAGAAAGCAAAGCAAAACTTGAGCAGCTGAAGACTGTTTTGGAGATGTAAGGATCTAATTTTTAATCCTCACATCAGAACTGGCATGACTCTTATTTTACTCTCATTAGCTTTTAAAATGAATTCTCTTACATTATATTGTCAGTTGATAAATTAATGTATGACAATACTAATCTGAATTTTTGAATATATTGAGAGGAATGATGGTTTTGTGATTAAGACATTGCACTGGTATTGAGGAGGTCTGGTTTTACTTCCTGTGTGACCTTGTACAAATCACTTAATCTAACCTGTTCCTCATCTGTATGATGGGGAAAATACTTCCTTTGTCTTATCCTGTTATCCATGTTGTCTATATAGATTATAATCGTTTGGGGGCAGTGGCTGCCTCTTGCTATGTATTTGTACAGTGTCTTATACAATGGAGTCCTAACCTCAGTTGGCATGTGTAGGCACAATTCTAATACAAATGGTAATTAAGTGTTGTTGCAATTGAATGAAGTCTTGTTCTCAGTAACCCACGCATAGTATGAAAACTCATTTTAAACTTTAAATAATTTTCAGTATCTCATTATGTATTTAAGGTCTGGCAGTTTCTAACTAACACTTAGTGCTGAAATTTATATTAAATATTAACTAGATAGTAATAATTGTTTCTAGACAGTTAACTTGCCCTATAATATATTGTGATAAAAGCTTGTTACACTTGCAAGTGTTATGAATCCCATTTTGGGGCTTCATTGGATAACAAATAGTGGCGATCAGTATGTGACAGATCAGATCTGAATACTGACAGCCGTAAGGGTGTATGGTGCCAAAGTGGAAGAAATTAATCATGCAGTTGGAGAGTGTGGGTGGATGGGAGTGTTTTTCTGGTGAGAGAGACATGAAGTTTCTTGGGCAATGTGATGAAAAGAAGCAATGGACAGTACTTAATATGGCAAGTGCTACATGTTGATGACCATTTAAGTATTCCTTCAATATTTTATTTGATATGTACAAGTACAAATCAGCAAAAATGGGCAGGTTAGTATACAAATCAATTATGATTCAAGGAATTATGATGTCCCTAATTGATAGAGGGATATGATAGTATTGAGTATATATTGGAAAATCTGTCAGTTTCTTTTCCCCCTCACTTTAGGTATGGGCATTTTTCTGGCATAAATCGCAAAGTCCAGTTAACCTATCTCCCTCATGGCTGTCCGAAAACTTCTAGTGAAGAAGAAGGTATAGTATAACCGATACTTACTCACTTACATAATATGTAGAACTTGACATAATAAGGGAGTTAATTGTTTAATATGGTGTTAAATAAAACAAGGACGTGTACTCTGGCCAAGTATTCAGAAACATTTTTGTTTTGTAATGAGATACTGTGATTAGCAATCTCTAAGATGCTGAGTTTCTGTTAGTAAGGTTAAGATATACTTTTGCATTTTAATATTGTTTCCTACGTAACAAAAATATGGAGGGAAGAAATTTTGTAAGCTGTTCACCAAAGATCATGATGATTAGAAAAAATTCGGTTTTCCATAAATCTCCTAGTACTCCTATTCCTTTCATACAAAAAAGGCTAAAACATACAATAATGCCTAGGTATTTAAAATCCAGTACCTGTGAATTTCCTGACTGCTGATTAGTTTAGTGCTTACTTTCAATTACTTTGTTTTCACTGTAATACAAGTTTCACTTGTTTTTAAAGTACCTAAACATGGGTGTCTTCAGAGTTAAGTATTAGCTTTCGCTGAACTAGAGGGGTATTTCTCTGTTAGAATAGCAAGAGACTCAAATGTTGAAGTCACTTTCCTGAAGCACACAAAACTCAATGTATCACTTCCAGTATTTCTTTAATATTAATTTAATCATAATTCTTTAATAGTCTTTAAATAAACTTTTGCATTTGTGTGTACATTATTTTAAGTGATCTGTCTACATATAATTAGATAACAGAAGAGATGAACCATCTCTACTTCTGGTTCTGAAATGGGGAGGAGAACTGACCCCTGCAGGCAGGGTCCAGGCAGAGGAGCTAGGGAGAGCTTTCAGATGCATGTACCCAGGTGGACAAGGTAATCTTTGTGTGCTATATGGCATAAATTAGCCTTTTAATTTATACATAAAAATAAAATACATGTATAACAAGAGTCTCTGAAGAAGAAGATCTGTTTGTTTTGTAGGAGATTATGCTGGATTTCCTGGATGTGGTTTACTTAGATTACATAGTACTTATCGACATGATCTGAAAATCTATGCTTCTGATGAGGGACGAGTTCAGATGACTGCAGCAGCTTTTGCAAAGGTACTGTGTGAAATTGTATTTTCAACAAAGAAACCTGAAACTCTCAACAAGAATCTTGTCTGTGTTCTCTAGCAAGTTAGGGAAATGCAGTTTTATTGCAGCTAATGGAATAAAAAAAAAAGTTGAAATTTATTTAAAGTTCATTTAGTGCTCATGAAAGGAGATCCAAATGGACATCTCTTGCATTTGAAGCCTTCCAAGCATCAGAAGACATACAGCATGGGAAGCTGCAGTACAAGTTTTTATTTACATAGCCCATGCAATGCACATCAGTCCTTTCCAGTAGACCACTTTTGAGGATGAAAAGGGTATTTTAGTCTACATGCCCGTTTAATTCTTTATCTAAAAGTTCCAACAAACTATGACAAATTGTGGGCATGATGGGTGAAATATAGGCATCTTTTAGGAAATGAACTGAGGCTACAAGTTCACTTTACATAGGTGACATGCAACTGTAAGGCAAATTACACATAGAGGACCAGATTGCTTTTGTGCTTTGATACCACCAGAGATGTAAAATTAATATAACCTGATTTCATTTTCTTTTTAAGATAAGATATTACAAGATTATATAAACATTTTTACTACAGGAATATCCTTTTGTAAGATTGTTAGAGCAGAAACTTCTTAACATTTAGTTGATCTCAAAATAATTAACTGGTGAGATACGGTGGCGAACTGACAAAAAAAATGCTCTTAATCATTATGCTGCTCAAGTATGCATGTAGTAATTTTGTTGTGCTGTAAAAATTCTAGGGTGATCTTGTAAAATTTAATAAAAACTGTTCCATAGCCCTGAACACTGTGAACTTTTAGACATGATCTGTGAAAAATGTAATCTTCAGAACTTCCATGTAAATTAGAAACTTTTTTGACCAAACTTTCACAATACCTTACCTATCTTCATATCAGACAAATTTCCCAGTCCTCTGATCACAGCCCAGAAGCTCTGTACCTGCTTAAGTTTTCCACTCATTTCTCTTTTAGCAGAAGTTTGATTGCTTATTCCCATCTCCAAGAAGAGGGATATATCAGGCATCCTAAACATATGTGAGAGAGCACATACAATAAGCTGCTACATAAAGATTTCATTGAGTGATTGAATTTCGGTAACCACAACATTTGAGATACTGGCAAGTTATTTGAACAATATAATGTGGAGTTTACGTTTACATCTTGGTTTAGAAATAGATGCATTACTACATTTTTATCTTTGTTCATTTCTGAATAGCAGTGTTGTTCTTTCCAGGGATTACTGGCTTTAGAGGGAGAGCTGACTCCTATTCTTGTCCAGATGGTGAAAAGTGCTAATATGAATGGTCTGTTGGACAGTGACAGTGACTCTTTAAGCAGCTGCCAGCATCGTGTTAAAGCAAGGCTCCATGAAATACTCCAGAGGGACAGAGAATTTACGCCTGAAGACTATGAAAAGGTTAGAAAATACTAAAGAAATTATTTCCAACATAAGTTGATTAAAGTTTACCACAACTAAGTTTTCACACAAGTATTCCTTTATTAGTTCAAAGTCCACTTGTTGTTGGTTATATCCAAAATACCAATACAGGCATAAACACATTTTATATCCTAGCAACAATACAGTTACACACATTGGCCAAATATTCACAACAGGATCTTGCTTGGGCATGATTCCAGAAGGGTAAGGAAAATCCCTAAAATCCTTGCCTTTTTACACACTCTAATAAACAAGTGATGTCACTGCTGGTTATAAGACCTTAGCTAAAGCCAGAGAGAGCCATTTTAGGTCTGGATGCTACGCTTTTGCATGGTCTAGACCAACTTAATGGTTGGGCTCCCTTTTCAAAGTTATCTTCTTTCCTTCTTTTGCCATATTTCTTCCCAACTTCAGGACTAAGCATTTTTTTTGTAAACAAACTATATATAACCAGTTATTTATTGCACCTGGTGCCCAGTTAATCAAAATAAAGAAAACATGGTTACCTCAACCCAAATCTGAAATAAAATAACACTCTGGTTTCAACTGTCACTACAAATTTAACACAAACAATGCTGCTTTTTCATAATTTAATTCTGTTTAGTCATATGCTTTGGGCCTATTGCTCATGCTAATATCCAAACTCAGTTTAAGACCAGCGTTTACTTGGGCTCAATGTAGGCTTATCTTCCTACAAGATAGTTAGCAGGATTCGTTTTCTGTGAATCAAAATAAATAAAATTTTGTCTTGATCCTAATATTTGGTTAAAAGTAATGTTTTTATTAGGGCTGTCAATCGCAGTTAACTCTAGTGATTAACGCAAAACAAATTAACTAGATTAAAAAATGTAGTTGCAAGTAATCACAGTTTTAAACGCACTGTTAAACAATACTACAATACCAATTTAAATTTATTATAAATTATTTTGGATGTTTTTCTACATTTTCAAATATATTGATTTCAGTAACAACACAAAATACCAAGTGTACAGTGCTCACTTTTATATTATTTTTATTACAAATATTTGCAGTGTAGAAAAAAATAAACAAAAGAAATAGTATTTCAGTTCACCTCCTACAAGTCCACTCAGTCCTACTTCTCGTTTAGCCAATTGCTAAGATAAACAAGTTTGTTTACATGTATGGGAGATAATGCTGCCTGCTTCTTATTTACAGTGTCACCTGAAAGTGAGAACAGGCATTTACATGGCACTGTTGTAGCCAGAGTTGCAAGGTATTTACGTGCCGGATATTCTAAACATTCATATGCCCCTTTATGCTTCGGTTTGTACGCTCTAAAGTTTTACATTATTTTGGTTTTGAGTGCAGTTAAGTATTAAAAATATATATATATATATCTACATTTGTAAGTTGCACTTTCACAATAGAGATTGCACTACAATACTGTATCAGGTGAATTGAAAAATACTATTTCTTTTGGTTTTTACTGTGCTAACAGTGTGATTAAAACTGCGATTCATCATGATAGTTTTTTTTTAATCTTGTGATAAATTGCATTTTTTTAATCATTTGACAGCCCTAGTTTTTATCCCATAGTTTTCTAAAATCAATCTTGTACACTTGTTGGTAATGTCTTGTGTGAAGAAGGAAATTGGCAAATAGCAGTGGCTGTGTGGGAAGTTGATGGTCAGTCATGTAATACTTTGTCACATAGAGCTATACGAGTCCCACAACAGGAACAGATACACTTTTGGGTATGATTGTGAACACGTGTTTGGGGAACAAAACAGCAAACCTTCCTTATTGTTCCATAAGCAAGATTTCAACCTGTTCCACAAGTAAAAAGATAGTGTTAACCTGCCTTTATGTGTAACCATTTACACTCTGCTTCTTTAGTAGTAATATTGACGGTGACAGTGTGTGTTCAAAAAGCTATTATATATCTGTTATAAAGGTTTGCCATTATTGAATTTTTTACAGAACACTATTCTGGTCCTGGGAATTCTGAAGTGCCCTAAGCTGTTACTTTCTAACCGGTGAAGATAAAAGAAATGTTCCATTACATACTAAGACATTGTACTGTAATGCAGGTTACATCAGGTTGTACAAATTAAAAGGAAGGGATCACTTCTGGTTCTACACATTAGGCATATTTCATCATGATTAGATAAGCATGTTTACCAGTGGCTGTCCTCACTGTGTCTAAAGAAACAAATGGAAACTTTCTAATATTCAGAACAGTGTTGAAGTCCGGGCTGCCATTAGATATGAGGCATAGAGATCAAAGCAGTGGGAGATTAGTCTACATCAGTGGTTCTCAAACTGGGGGTTGTGACCCCAAAGTGGGTTGCAATCCCTTTTTAATGGGGTCACCAGGGCTGTCATTAAACTTGCTGGGGCTCAGGGCTGATGCCAAAGTCCAAGCCCTACCACCTAGGGCTGAAACCCTCAAGCTTTGGCACCCCCCAGGGGGCAGGGAGGCTCAGGCTTCGGTCCCCTTCCTGGGATCTTGTAGTAGTTGTCAGAAGGGGGTTGCAGTGTAATGAAGTATGAGAAACCCTGATCTACATATTTGTCACTATTGTATATGTTAGCTGTTATCCGAGGTGCCTGGGGTAGCGTTCACTGAAAATTCCAAGTTCAAGGCAAGCTTCAAAAAGGAGAGCAGATTCTCCCAAAACTGGTAGTTAAAACTGGTTAGACTCACCAACCAGTCACAAACTCTGCTTCTGATCCCCCACACGGGTTATCAAGAAGCTGAAAAAAGAAATCACACAGCCCCCTTTATTGCATTCCAGTTCTCTGTCTCCCAATCAGCACATAGGTCCAGTACAGTAAGAAATTATTTGAAACACTGTTCACTATACAAAATGTTCTTCTGACCCCAAGGGACTAGCCACATGGCCAGATCAATATTAGTTTGGCTCTTACCCAAAATACTAAGCTGTCAGGAGGGTTGCCAACCCTCCAGGATTGGCTTAGAGTCTCCCAGAATTGGCGTTGATCTCCCAGTGACTATTGAAAGCAATCCGGGAGATTTTAATAGGATATTTTAAGAAAATGATGTCATGTCATGATGGAGGAAAAATATCTCCTGGAATAGCTTTAGACAGAGTTGGCAAGCCTAGGTTCCAGCCAGTCCTTTAGTATCTAAAACTAAAGGTTTATTATAAAAGAAGGAAAGAACAAGAAGCGGGTTGTTAAATGGTCAAGCAATAAAATACATACATAAGACTTCAGAGTCCATATATCAGACTCGTAGCAGTATTGGTGAGTTTTTTGCCTTGAAAGTCCCTCAGGAATACATCCAAAGCTTGGATGGGTCATTCAGTCCTTTGTTCAAAGCTTCAGTTTGTAGAGAAGTTGCTGCAGAGGTAGGAAAAGTAGGATTGAAGACAAAATGGAGATGATGCCTCTGCCTTTTTATATCCTTCGCATGTGGCCTGTACTACTTTTGTCCCAAACACAAGCTTTACATCACATGCCATGGAAAAGCCTTAGAGTTCTCTGTCCACAGGCATGCCCTACATGTTTTGCTGACTTTCATAAGGTGCAGCTGTTGCCTTCTCTCAATGGGTTAATTGTATAGCTGATTGCCTTTGATAGGACATCAAGCAGGCTGGATAGTGCTGATGCCAGTCTGTCTGGGGGGTGTCACCCAGAAGCATAGCACAAGTTTGAAATACAGATATATCAACACACATTTGTAATTCACAATACAAAGATGATACAAACATATAAACAATATTATCATACTTGGGAAAACGTAACATTTCCTCTGATACCTTACACAACATATCTGGTAAGATTCCTTGCAATTTTATAATATTGGTAATAATATTAAGTGTCTCACATAATCCATACAGTGTCACATGAGCATTGAGTTCAATAGTTCAATTTGAAAATTGCGTAATTAGATGGCATTTGAGTGTTTTGATGTAACGTGAATTCAGGTTTGAAGAGCAGCAGCAACTACTGAACTTTGCTCTTTTAGAGGAGACTCCTGGTATACGACTGACCTTTTCTTTTTTGGTTTTTAAGTTGATGGTGACTGTTTTAATTTTAGCTATTTAAGGAACCCCACATGCCTTGTCCCTCCTAATTCTTTTTTCTCCAGAGACCTGCCTTTGCTGAATTACTATGTCATAAAGAGGGGGCACAGAGTACCTAATGTTAACAGAGTAGGTAGAGGTAACGGGATAAGAGGAAAGGGGAAGCTGGAAGCACATATAGGTTCATTACCCCCAAGAATCCGGCGTTCTGGTAAGGAAACTTTTGCTCACTGTGTTATCACGTGCACATGCTTGAGTAGTACTGCCGATGACCTCAGTGGGATTTTTCTCCTCCATCCTTAAAATTTCTCATGGAGTCCAGGGATTGTTTTGTCTTGAGCACGAGTGCTAAACGTTCTTGGTGAGGCACCACAGAGGCATCACTTTGTCCTTCCTTTCGTGGTGGCAAATAGAGCGACAGAGGGCCAGAAAGAGAGTGTATTCAGATAGGATAAAGAGAGAATAGTGAACTGCCAGGTGGGGAGGAGATTGAGCCTGACCCATTCTGAATGGGAGATTCAGGGCAAACACCATCATATTATATATCCTTATATCCAACCCTCCACCGAGTAGTTCCACTGAGTACTTTTCTGTCCTGCAGCCATCTGTTCCTACCTTTTTGGGGAAGGGGTTACTTATCCCTCTGACCTCCAGGCTGTCTCAGATTCTTTGAGAGCACAGGTACTCCTGCCTTGCCACCACCTGCCCGTGTTCTCTTGTTAATTGGAGGAGAGTTTTTCACCACCTGACTTCCCATGTTTGCTCCAGAAGTTTCGGGGCTGAGAGCACAGGGGATCTGCTTCCCCTACCTTCTTGTCCTCATTGCAATTAGATTACTGCTGTTTGTAGTACCTAGTAGGCTATTGTAAGGCAGTATGTGCTTCCCCCAGATGCTGTTGCTACTCCTTGGCCTGCTCTCTGCTTATGTGGGGGAACGATCTGAACAGGGAGCCAGATTTCTGTCTGAAAAAAGGGAAAAGGTCCTGCAGGTGCTCCTAAAATGTGAAAATACATGTTTAAATATTATGATTGACCACTCGCTTACCCTGCACTTCGCCTTTCTAAAAAGTGAAGGTAAATCACGAGGCATTCAGCCACTCTTCAATGTCTTATATAGCATTACTGGCTTACTTAATGGTGATCATGCTTGGCTCCTAAAGTTAAATGATTGGTTCAGTTCTGGAGGATTGACTGTTGATTCCTGCTAGTAACTTTTTTGTGTTCTATCCTGAAAGAAATAAGTCTGTGCAGGAGCAGCCATGTATGATCCCTCCAATTAAGTTTTGTTCTGTAAAATTTCCTTTCATGATGTATTAGGAAGTATTTAGCCACAGTGTACCATTCTGATTTCTCTTGACAAAGCTTTTAACAAAATGTTTGTTATTAAAAACAAAATAAAATACATTATTAAATATGCACAAAGTTGTGAACTTCCTCAGAATTCTCACTTTTGAGAATAAAATAATTAACATAAGTGGGGAAGTTTAATTCCATTCCTGACATTGCTGTGGTATTCCAGACAGAATTGTTTGCCCTCTAAGTATCTCATACAGCCTTAGCTTTTGACACTTGGGTTAAGCTTTCTACTCTTAATTTAGATCGCAGTGTATTAATTCTGACTTTAAGGAAGTTGTGGACTGTGTACTTTTATGCATATGTTGAGTCTAGAAATCTGAGAGTTGAGAGATGTGGGGGGTTTTGTTTTGTTAATGCATCCCATTAGGATTTCCTAGATATTTAGATATAACCAATTTGGCAAGGAATATTTCTGTTTTATCTCATACTGCAGCTTACTCCATCTGGAAGCATCTCTCTGATAAAATCAATGAAGGTGATCAGAAATCCTGTGAGAACATGTGACAAGGTTTATTCCTTGATTCAGAGTTTAACTTCTCAAATCAGGCAGCGAATGGAAGATCCCAAGTCCGCGGGTAACTGAAATGTTTTAAAATGTGTGTTTAATTTGACTTATGTCCATTTGAGACCACTAACTTTAATGGATATGCAGAAGGCAGGCACCCTTTCCTCGTTTGCTTCACTGTTTCACAGATTTTTGCTAATGATACTTTAGGGACTCATGCAAGTTGAGCAGATATGGCTTTAGAATACAGGCTTTTCCCCTGAGAGAGTTTGCTGCAATTAACACAAGGTTTAGAGCAAAAGACTATGTAGTAACGTTGCCATAACCAGTTATTTCTGGGATCTATACTAAAAACTAAGGTGATAGGCGTAATATTATTCAAATATGCTGCAAAACTTTAAGTTCACAAAGAGGGCAGGCTGCTCTAAATGTAATTTAAGGGAAGATTTCCTTTGAATGTTAGTATCTTCATTAAAGCTTTTGTTTGCTCTACACTAAAACACGGGCCATGATGAATAGAAATGTTGCTCTATAAATTATGTAGTATTAAAACACCATTTTTTTTTAATAGTTGCATTTTATCTCTGTAGGACTTGCACTGATAACTAGAATTGATGTTCTACCATTTCTGCTCCTTTTCCCAATCCAAACCTCTAGTCTGCAATTTGGGGCATCTGCCCCTGCTCCTGCCAGTCTCCTGGCTCCCCATATTCCTGGCTTCTGCCCTTGGGATGTGTACAGGAGTGTATGGGAAATAAGGGGCACATCCCCAGAAAAAAATATTTTAATCTAAAATTTTTAAGAAGTCCCTGAGTACTTCTTAAAACCACACTGTATATGATTTATCATGGTACAATTCTGCCTGAAGACCTAGCGATGCACTTGGAAAAGGGAGCTTGGGATAGAGCAGACATGCTTCTGTCTTAGTTACCATGTAATAATTCCATGCTAGTGGCAACGAAAACTGAGTTCAAAACTACCCATACACATAACTATTCCCTCTATTTTGAGCCCTTCAGATAATGATTTCAAGTATCTTTGTGGTAGTATTCACAGGCTTCTGACCACTTTGCCTCAATGCGTTTGTTATCTGGAGTGAGCTAACATTGTTTTACTCTTAAAACACATTTTAAGACTATAATTTCAATAATACATTTAAATCAGTTTAACTTTTTTGTTGTCAATCCTAAATAGTGAAATAAGAGTAAAATATTTATCTGTCTAGATATTCAACTTTACCATAGTGAAACGCTAGAGTTAATGCTGCGCAGGTGGGCCAAGCTGGAAAAGGACTTTAAAACAAAGAATGGACGATATGACATCAGCAAAATCCCTGATATATACGACTGTATAAAATATGATGTCCAACATAATGGCTCCTTAAAATTAGAAAACACAATGGAAATATACAGGCTATCAAAGGCGTTAGCTGACATTGTGATCCCTCAGGTAAGCACTTTACAACATTAATATGGCACCTTTAGAATAAAAATCAGTAAAAGATGCTTGCTGTCTCCTGTTTTTGGAAGGCTTCTATAGTTTGCAGTGACTAGAGGCTCCAAGATGACCTTCTGTTTACTGAGGAGATTGAATGTCAATGGTAGAGTACAGATTAACTGGCCTCAGTAAATTAGTAGTTCATCAAATCGATTAAATTTAGAGTGAGTTTTCCAGTAGCTAGCATAAATATGACTAGGTCAGAGGTGGGCAAACTAGTGGCCCGTGGGACCATCCTGTCCGGCCCTTGAACTCCTGGCTGGGGAGGCTAGTCCCTGGCCCCTCCCTTGCTGTCCCCCCTCCCCTGCAGCTACACTGCTGTGCGCTGGGGCTGTGAGCTCCTGAGCTGCCTGTCAGGGGGCGGGAGTGTGGATAGGGGATGGGGAACAGGGGGATTGGATAGGGGATGGGGAACAGGGGGCCGGGCAGGGGTGTGGAGGCAATCAGGGGACAGGGAGCAGGGATGGTTGGATAGGGAGTGTGGTCCCAGGGGGGCAGTTTAGAGCGTGGGGTCCTGGGAGGGGGCGGTCAGGGGACAAGGAGCAGGGGGAGTTGGATGGATCCAGTGTTCTGAGGGGGGCAGTCAGGGGGCAGGAAGTGGGGGGGGGGGGCAGATAGGGGGCGGGGACCAGGCTGTTGGGGGAGGCACAGCCTTCCCTACCCAGCCCTCCATACAGTTTTGCACCCCGATGTGGCCCTCGGGCCAAAAAGTTTCCCAACACCTGGACTAGGTCTTAGTTCCCATTAGCCCAGTGTGCTAAAATTAAGTGCCCCGTAACTACTATTTTTCATAGATTAAGGAGGGCAGTATAATTGAAGTAATCAAAGATGTCCCTATCTGAAGTTGAATTTTTTCTGTCAGCCTTTTTGCTTACAAGACTCCTTCTCAGGCTGTTTGTAAGGGACACAGTTAGCCTAATTTCACTTAACTGAAGCTAACTGGTAAAGAATTTAAACCAAAATGGAGCTTTCTACTGCTAAAATGCATTTTGGTTTTGGTTTTAAATATGCTAGCAGTTAAATACAGATACCATCTTCCTTCTAGTATCAGGGGTAGCTGTGTTAGTCTGTATCCATAAAAACAACAAGGAGTCCGGTGGCACTTTAAAGACTAACAGATTTATTTTGGTGTATCTGAAGAAGTAGTTTTTTAACCACGAAAGCTCATGCCCAAATAAATCTGTTAGTCTTTAAGGTGCCATCGGACTCCTTGTTGCTTTCATCTTCCTTTTGTTTCTAACAAGAGAGATGCTCATCAGGCAAAAAAATACAATTTGGTTCATGTCTGTAAAATTATATCTTTAATAGTTATCCATATTGCTGAACAAAATAGTATCTACTAACGAATGGCATTCAACAGGGAACCAGGGAGGTAGGAAATAGTTATCTCACTGTCAGTGTGGGAGCAAATTGTCTTCTATCAGTAAAGGAAACAAAACTTAAAATAGCAGAGTTCCTGGAAAAAACGCACAGAGCAAGATTATGGAAATGAGTGCACATTAGTATTGTCTTCGCCACATGGTTCTAGATCTGTCTACTTCTCATTTCCCTTTTTTTTTTTTTTTAAATCTGTCTGCAGTGCAGTTTCAAAACTGAGAAAGTCATATACATTACATGGAATTTCACTGGATCTAGATGAACACATAGGTCCCTTTGTCAGTCAAATCTAAACTGCATTCAGTGTTGTGCTGAGTAGACTAAGGAAAAAAACCTAAGTATTACCTTAGTGTTAATGTCTCTCGCATATAACCAGAATTCTTCCTCTGTGAATCAGACTAATTCATTCACTCCAGTAATGGATTTGCCTTCATTTTTTTGTTTAATATGTAGCATCATTTCTGATAAAATATCTGCTCTGCAAGGTCTTATTTCCAATTCTGTCTACTAGTTCTTTGCCTAGATGAGAGAATTTTTTTTCTGAAGAGAACTAACTAATTGAAATACCACTATAATGCCTTTAAAAATCTTGGCTATTGGGAGTTGCCCAGGGGATCAGATCTCATATTGTGACATGGGACATTGAGAGCCTGAGAAGATACTAATAAACATATAACTGGAATACATATATTGTACCTTATGCACATCTGTAACCTTCACAACTTATACTTATTGACAATATTTTTGTACAAGTTTGTCAGCTCTTGAAAGAATGGACTCTATTCTCATATTAAGGTATTGGATGCCATTGGACAAATCAAGATTGTTTTGAAAGTGGAGTGTGCTGTACTGCACTACAGAAATGTTCAGCTGTTGAAGGCTTGTTCATGTGAAGCTTTTTTGTACAAATAACTGGATAGACAACAAGTCATTCTTCTTCGAGAGATGTCCCTGTGGGTGCTCCACTCCAGGTGTTGGTGCATCCCTGCACCTTCACTCAGAGATTTTTACAGCAGTACTCGTACCGGTCGCATATGCGCAGAGCCTGCCCCCCCCCGCTCTGAGTGTATCTTAATAGTACGCGTGCATGTCCGATCTCCTCAGTTCCTTCTCTACTGTCCCCCGCCTGAGATGGAGCTCAGCAGAGTCGTCAAAGACTTTCTCTCCCTTTGTTACAATTACCTTTCTAGTTAGTTTGTTACTAGTAGTACTTAGTTACCATTTTTCTATCCTTTTCTCTCTCAAAATAAATAAATATTTTTTTTCTTCATTCCTGTCAGTGGCTGCCACTTCCGACATGCCTCACTCCCCAGGCTTTAAGTGCTGCTCTACCTGCAATGATGCCATCCCTCTGTCAGATAGCCATTCAAAATGCATAAAATGTTTGGGGGAGTCCCACATCCCTCCAAAATGTGCCCACTGCAGCAAGCTTAAATCTAGGACATGGAAGGACAGGGAGCTGAGGCTAAAACTGCTCCTCCTTCAAAAATCCTTAGGGTCAGCTTCAGACCCAGGTGCCGACTCCGGCTCCGCAGCACACCACAGCCCCCCTGCCTCAAAGAAGGACAAAAAAACTTCAAAAAAATGGCACCTTCTCTCACCTGCAAAGGGAACTTCTTCCCCAGACAGGTCTACAGCCTCCCTCCCGGCACTTCTCCGGCTGAGCACTTTTGATGCGCTGGGCTCCTCCGGCGTTGCACGAAACCCGCCCGCCTGCGTCCGCGAAGCTCCAGTGCCAGGGCTTCAGGCTTCCAGTTGCCTGTCTTTCACAGCAGATTCCTCTTGCACAGCCCTCACTTCACAGAGGAGCTCCGGGGCTGCAGTTTACACAGTCAAGGGACCTGCTGGTGTCACCTATCCTGCAGACACCCTTACTCAATGCCTACTTCTCTCCAAATGCTCAGTCAGGGTCCGGACAGCCTTCCTCCAGTGATGAGGAAGCTGGACTACAGGAAGAATTTTCACCATATCAAATCTCCCATCCTCAGACCCCAATCAATAGAGGTCATAGAAAAATTACTTCATCCTACTCTCTGGATCCTGTCCCGTGGTGTGTAAACCCCTGGATGGCACCACCTATGCCCTTCCCACCACAGTGGCAATATTGGGCCACATAGGCATCTTATCCTCAAGACCACACTCCCTATGCCACCTCAACCAGGCGTGACACCTGTCCGGCCCACCAGCTGACGAACCTGCCACTGATGTAAGGCACCAGGCAGCACCGTCACAACTGCAGGATCCGGCATGACGTGCCTCAAACCCAGTAGACCTAGTTGTTACGCCTGATGAAGCCTTACTTCCTCCTCCCCCCACATCTTTGGATGATTTCTCAAAATTTCAAGACTTTTTCAAGAGAGTTGCCAGCGAGTTAAGAATTAACTTGGAGGAGGTTCCTGAACAGCAGCATGAGTTAACGGACATCCTGCAGCCCTCTTCTTCTTCTAGGATTGCATTACTGATCAATGCAGCCCTTTTGGTACCTGCTAAGGCCATCTGTCAGACTCCTGCTGCAAGCCTACCTACCTGTAAACGAGCGGACCACAAGTACTTCATCCCTTCCAAGGGCTCTGAATTCCTTTTCACTCATCCAGTGCCAAACTCGCTGATAGTAGATGCAGTCAACCAAAAGACCAAACGCCCGTTTCCCTGCTTCACCCCATCTGACAAGGACAGTATACGATTAGATCTGCTCCGAAGTAAAGTATACACATCTTCCATGTTACAATTTCGTATTGCTAATTATACTGCTGTTCTGGCAAAATATGACCACAAAAATTACAACAAATTCATGGACTTTATTGATGACATTCCGGAAGGAAAGAAACAACAATTCATGGCTCTAGTTTCTGAGGGACAAATCATCTCACATACCGCTCTTCAAGCGGCCCTTGATGCAGCCAACACTGCAGCAAGATCCACTGCTACAGCAGTGGTCATGCGCCGAGGTTCATGGCTCTCCTCGAGGTTCATTCCTTTCCTCGAGAGGTACAGAATACCATTGAAGATCTTCCCTTCAACCATGACAAACTCTTTCATTGAATGAAGTACGTCGTTCAGGCAAAGACTCAAGGGCAACTTTCCGGTCTCTAGGAATTCAAACTCCTACGACCAGAAGGCGACAATATAGATATCAACCTTATCAGCGTCCACACTACCCTGCATATACCCAGCAATTCCATAGAGCACATGAGCAGCAACGCCAGATACCAGCGTCACCGTCTCAATTCCTCAGCAGTGTTTCAACCCCCTCCGACTAATAAGCAGATTTGAAGCCTTGTTTGAGGGTTTAGAAAACAGCGTTCTCACTTCAATGCTTACACCGCATGTCCCTATTTTTGGACACTGCCTACGACCATTCTCCCATCAATGGCAGAACATTACCACCAACAAGTGGGTTATATTGGTCGTCACAATTGGCTATTCGATCCCTTTCCTATCCTTGCCTCCTACCCACTCACACTCCCTGTCCTCCTTCAGGGACCCCTCTCACGAGCAACTGCTCCTCCAAGAAGTACATCTTCTTCTATTGGGAGCAGTGGAACTTGTGCCCAAATGGCACAGAGGAAAGGGGTTTTACTCCAATTATTTCTTAACAGAAAAGAAAACCAGGGGATGACGACCTATCCTCGACCTCAGGCGGCTCAACAAATTTATCAAAAAGCAAAAGTTCAAAATGGTTACCCTCACCACCATAATCCCAGCGCTGGAGCAGGGTGATTGGTTTTCAGCCCTTGACCTACAGGATACCTATTTTCATGTGACTGTACATCCGGCCCACAGACGTTTCCTTCGTTTTACCCTCAGCTCAACACATTTTCAATACAGGGTGCTACCCCTGGGCCTATCCACTCCCCGCATTTTTTCACAAGCTCCTAGCTGTAGTCTCTGCCTACTGCAGGAAACAAGGGGTCATAATATTTCCTTACCTCAACGATTTGTCTCCTCAAAGTCTCAACACATGACAAAGCGCTTCGATTCACGCAGCTCACCGTTGATTGTTTCCTATCCCTCGGCCTACAAATAAACAAAAACAAATCCACATTCTCTTACCCAGCATCTGGAGTTCATAGGAGCACACCTCGATTTCCAGATGGAAAGAGCATCTCTCCCGCCCGATCGCTTCAACACCATAAAACTATTGGCAGCGAAACTTCGCAACAGTCCTCAGGTCACCACTTGAGTCTGTCTACAACTACTAGGTCACATGGCCTCGTGCTCTTTCGTGGTCCAAAACGCACGACTATACATGAGGTGCTTCCAAGTTTGGTTTGCCACAGTTTACAGACCAAATGTGCACTCTCTAAACAAGCCTCTATCCATACCTTTCAGAGTCAAAGACTCTCTCCTATGGTGGACAGTTCCCTCCAACCTTTGCTCTGGAGTCCCCTTTCTCTAGGATGCTCCATCTCTCATGACTACCGATGCATCCCTCACAGGGTGGGGTGCACTCATGTCCCACCACACAGCCCAGGGGCTATGGTCTTCAACCAAAACCTCCCTGCACATAAATGTCCTAGAACTTCAAGCCATACACAACGCCTGCTGTCACTTCCTCTCATTAATCCAGAAGCAACATGTATGGATAATGACAGACGACATCACCTGCATGTTCTGTGTAAACAGGCAGGGAGGGGCTCGCTCTCACTCGCTTGGCACAGAAGCCATGAAGCTCTGGAATTGGCGCCTTGCGAACAACATTCGGATATCAGCCACCTATCTTCCCAGAGTTGTGAATACCACAGCGGACAAATTAAGCAGACGCTTTCCCTGGGATCACGAATGGGAGATAAACGAGACTATCATCCACAAATGGGGCTACCCAACTATAGACCTTTTCGCAGCTGCGAAAAACATGAAATGTCCCGAATTTCCCTCCAGAGAGGGACTGGGCAAACATTCCCTGGGAGATGCGTTCATGATCCCATGGCACCAGGACTTGCTATATGCTTTTCTTCTGATACGTGTTCTCCACAGAGTTCTAATAAAGATACAGACAGATTGTGCCATGGTCTGATTGCCCCGTCGTGGCCTGGACAACCGTGGTTTCCATTCCTCACCAGAATATCAATCCGCCCACCAATCTCGTAGCCCCTCACTCTGAACCTCCTATCATAGCAACACTGTCGATTTCTTCACCCCAACGTGTCCATGCTTCACCTTAAAGCTTGGTTCCTATATGGTTCTCCCAAAACGAACTAGCATGCTCTGAGCAGGTTCAAAGAGTGCTCCTACATAGCAGAACACAAGCTACTCGCATCACCTGTCTCCGAAAGTGGAAGCGATTCAAACAATGGTGCTCAACTAATGGTGCTCTTCCTACTTCTGCACCTCTTCCACTTATACTTGACTACCTATTAGACCTCAAGCAATCGGGCCTTTTTCAGCTCCATCGAAGTCCACTTAGCTGCTATTACAACTTTTCATAATAAGATTGATGATACCTCTGTTTTTGCTCATCCAATCACCAAGTGTTTTCTCAAAGGACTCCAATCCCTATACCCAGACATTAAACCTCCTCCTCCTCCGTGGGACCTTCACTTAGTTTTATCCTGCTTAACTCAACATCCATTCGAGCACCTAGCCACTTGCTCCCTCTTACACCTCTCTATGAAAACAGCATTCTTAGTGGCAATCACCTCGCCAGACAGGCAGGAGAAATAGCAGTTCTCATGGTAGTCCCACCGTATACACTATTTTTTAAGGACAAGGTTACCCTCTGATTACGTCCCAAATTCCTTTCAAAGGTGCATTCCTCATTCCACATCAATGAGCCGATACACCTACCAACTTTCTTTCCCAAACCACATGCAAACTCTTTTGACTCCACCATGCATACGTTAGATGTACACAGGCCTTTGTCTTTCTATTTGGATAGAACTTTAGGAACTTTTCTAGACTTTGTCTCCATTGCGGAGCATTCCAAAGGGACACCTATTTCTACCCAGAGACTTTCAAACTGGATTTCTGACTGTATCTGACTGCTATCAGATAAAGAAAGTGACGCCTTCAGCCGGCATCAGAACTCACTCCACTAGATCTGTGGCTACCTCCGTGGCTTTTCTACGCAAAGTTCCCCTGGCTGACATCTGTAAATTGGCCACTTGGTCTTCTGAACGCACATTTGTTAAGCACTACGCCCTTACTCAAGGACGTCTCTCTGATACACGATTAGGCAGAGCTGTATTATCTACTGCATTCCTACCAAATCCGAAGTCCCTACCTCCTTGAGATACACTGCTTTTCAGTCACCTGAAGTGGAGGACCCACAGGGACATTTCTCTCGAAGAGGAGGTTACTCCCCCCCTGGTGTAGTAACTGATGCTCTTCGAGATGAGTGTCCTGTGGGTGCTCCACTACCCCCCCTCCTCCCTTCTACTTCAGAGTTGGGGTAGCCTCCGTTGTAGAGAAGGAGCTGAGGAGACTGGTCGCGCACGCGTACTATTAAGGTACACTCAGAGTGGGGGGGCAGGCTCTGCGTGTATGCGACCGCCACAAGTACCGCTGTAAAAATCTCCAAGCGAAGGTGCAGGGACGCACCAACACCTTGAGTGGAGCACCCACAAGGACACTCAGCTCGAACATCAGTTACTGCACAGGATGAGTAACCTCCTCCTTTGCTCATTCAGCAACCTGATTTGCTTGTGTTGGTTCATTGGGTTAATGCTGAAAATGAATACCCGGTTTAGTAAGGCTATTTATAGTCTGTATAGCAATATTTGACACAGATAAGATGTTCTTAAATTCAGAATATATTTACCAATAGAATTTGTGTCTGTTTTATGAAAAAAATTATTTAAGAATTGAATTACTCACTGAAATAGATGGTGCCTAGAGAGGGATGCAAGTGGATTGGTTTTATTTAATTGATGGTAACAACTGGAACTGAGGCAGATTACCATTACTATTCAATATATTTTTACATGAAGAAAATTCAGTGGAAATTAAACTACATTTCAGGCTTTGCATTTAGTGGGTTTAAAGGTGATCTACAAATAGAAGAGAGGACTCCATTTACTTTTGTAGTATGCTGAGTACTCAACATGGCAAAGGTGGGAGGGAAGTCCTGGATAGTATGGACTTCAAATTGTTTGTCTTTTAGGTCACCCGAAGTCCAGAATCAGTTAGGCTGGGTATAACACAGTTACACTCAGTATGCTGGTTGTGTTACTGATTACAAAATATCACTTCTGGGCGTAGGAAGGGAATTAGAGTACCACTGGACCTGTCCTAATGACAGTGTGGGGAGGGAGAGAGAGAAAGACAGGCTCATCAGATAAATGCCATATTATAGGGATTTGCAAAGGTTTTTTTTTAAATAGGTTATTTGGAGCAATGGGGAAACAGTACATATAAAATAAGAATACTCCCTTAAAAAAAAAATTGACAAACCAACATAATATACAAAGAAAAAAGGCCTTTACCTTGCTTTCCACAGTAACCAGAAGTTCTGCTATGGTGTTGGGGAACATCACCAGCCATGTAAGATTGTCTATTTCATTGAGCAGGAGACTCTTGAAAGAGAGTTTTAAAGTGAATATTCTAAGTGCCCAAAATTACCACCAAGAGTATCATTCTGATGTTAATGGAGATTTCTTACTGTTGTTTTCAGATTATATTTGACTGCCTTCAGAAGTGAAAAGGGAAGTACATTTCTTGCAACTGTTGGAGGTCAAATGAAAAAATAGAATGCCTCCTTATTTCAGTTAGGCCACAAAAGAGAACCTTCTTTCAAAAATCAGATTCATCCTGGTATGAAGGAGCTTGGTACTTTTCTGCTGCCACCAAAGGAAACATTCTTTCCATTCATACTTCGTACATTTCCAGTGCAATTTCTTTGTCCATGTTCAGACACTTAAAATCCATGTTTTTCAGCCACAGGAAGTGGCAGATAGCTAGCTACTGTTTTTCAGTTATGAGTCTTGAATTCAAAATTCACTTCAGTGTTCTTTATAGTTTTGTTTCAAAAACTTAATTTCTTTCTGTCCAGGAATATGGTATTTCCAAGGCTGAGAAACTAGAGATTGCCAAAGGCTACTGCACACCTCTAGTTAGGAAAATTCGTTCTGACCTTCAGAGGACTCAGGATGACGACACTGTAAACAAGCTTCACCCTCTGTAAGTTCAGAATTTTTCAATACATGTATGCTGCCAATTGTCTTCAGTACTTAAATGTTCCCGCAACCTCGATAGAGAACCACGTACTTATAAAGCTATGCTTACTTCAAATGATTTATAGTAAGATGGTAGTAAGTTTTCTAATATGGGTATATTTTAATGTCTTTCTTTTTTCCCCCCTATATTTTTGATTTCAGATACTCCAGAGGTGTTATGTCTCCTGAACGTCATGTTCGTACTCGGTTATATTTCACAAGTGAGAGTCATGTCCACTCCTTATTATCAACTCTTCGTTATGGTGCCTTATGTGACGTAAGTTGGTCATTTTCCTGTTAGAGCAAACCCTGCTGCTGGTATTTTCTGAAGAACCTATGGGACCAAATTCCACTAATCTTAAATGGGAGTTGAGTGCCTAACTTCCTTAGGCTACCTTGAAAATCACAATCTATTTTATTAAACATATTGATTTTGTAATATGTTTGGCAATATGACTTGTGTGCATAACACTAATCTTTGCCATATAGATTTTTTTCTTAGCAGAAAACAAGATGGAAAACGTTTAGCATTACCTTGGTTTTTTTATGGAAGTTAGTAAATATTAGTGTATTTGCTAACATTTGAGCTCTAAATTCCTCATGCTCAGAAAAGACCATACTTATATTCCGATCAGGCAATAATGCAAAATACCTTTTAAGAATTTCTTGTAAGTAGGTTGAAATTCTTCTCTGAGAAGCTGAGCAGTACTGTCCATCTCCAAAATTGTTTACAATTGGTCCTTAAAACTAACTTGGTGGTGTCTAATATGCAACACATGAATATATTTCACTTAGCTTAAACACCCTACACCTGGTAGCTGCCTCATCAGAAATCAAGCAGGACACTTTCCAAAGTTCTGTCCCTGGAACTTAAGAAGAATAATTTCTCCTCCCAGGTTATTGGTAAGATAGGCAGAAAAATTAATGTTTTACACTTAGTGTCAAATTCTCACATCTGCACCACAAATCATAAAACTAATGTACACTTTTTATTTGAAAGAGTAACATGGTCTTTGTCATATCTGGCAATAGCATCTTATTTATGCAGCATCATAGCAGTGTTTAGAATTTTACAAGCAGTTAAATATTTTTCTTGTGGACACAAATCCTGAAGAGCATAAAACCTAACTCAAAAGGATGTGGTACCAAGAGAATGATTGCTGAGTAAGAATTGGATCCTGCACTAATATGAGTCTGGGTGATGGTAAAATAGAGGTAGAGAAGAGAGATTAGGGGGAAACACAAATTCTTCTTTGAGAAGATGCAGCCATATATTCTACGTAGGTGTGTGCACGCCCAATGCACCAGAGCAGGATAACTTTGCCTACCAGTACTTGTAGATGGGCAGTGCTCGTGTCTCGTAACTATAGCCCTGGCTATATCAGGTGGCGCTGCCCCAACCCCCCTCAGTTCTTTCCTACCGCCCATGGCTGGAGTTGCAGCTCTGTGTGGCTCCTAACCTCACAACCTCTCTATTTCTGAGTGACTTTTTCTAGTTGGAGATAGTTAACTAGTACCCTTAGTATAGTGTTAGTTAGCTTTAGTTTAAACATTTCACTGGTGATGCCTTCACCATGGTTTAAATACTGTCATGTGGAGGAATGATCACTGTACACGGTGCTTGCTGTGCTTAGGCAAAGCCCATGCCAAGGAGTGGTGGTGAGAGATCTTCGTCTAAATCAGCACTTACTTGAACAGGCCACGTGGCCTGCTTCAGCACCAAGACTTACGTTGGATTGGATGTCACCCTTGGGTTCTGAGAGTGCTGCTACTTTGCGTTCTGGAGCTGGCACCTTTCCAAAGAGACACAGGAGTCACTCCTCCTCAACTGCACTGAAGAAAAGACCACACGTAAGACCATCAAGGTTACTCCAAATCGTGTGGGGACTCATCTGTCCCTTTCAGAAAGAGTGCAGATTGGCATGATGTGAATGTTGGTACATGGGATGGATCAGGTCCAGTCAACCACTTTCTAGTACTGCACAAGGAAGTGAGAGACCCCTTACTGTCGACTCCAGTTCGGACATGGGGCGTTTGTTGAGTCTGGTACCAACGAGGGCAGTGCCAGCACTGGCTGTTTCTGTGTCAGCAGCGTATCCAGCAACAACGGATCTCCTCTGCCTTTTTGTCTCAACCTCTCCCTTGGCCCAGGACTTTGCCATTGCTGTGTCATTTATAGGCTCGTTGGCTAGGCGAGCTGCTGAACCTGGGGTTCTGTCAGCACCGCACCCTGGTGTTTCCCTTCCATAGTCAGTGGAAGCAGGAACCAATGCCAGGCTCAGCACAAGGGACGTCCTTAGCGTAGAGAACGTCTTCAGCACCCCTGCTGTTGGCTCAGCCAATGTTACTGTGGCAGCACTCGCCGCCCTCCACTTTGCCACAGTCACGTTGGTGCCGCTGCCAACTTCGGGGTTGACACCACTTCTGGTGCCAGAAACAACAAAGGTGTACTCAGTGCCAGCGACAGCATTTCCACCGTTGCCGCCAGTTCCCTCTTCGTTCTGGTGTATGGACGAGTCAGTTACTCAGACCTTCAGGGCTGGCTCCACCTTTCTCCCCTGGAGCCCGGTACTCCTTTACTTCTAGGTTGGGATCATCCTCCTCCCATTTTCCATCGCCTGATCCACACTGGCGGCCATTCATGGAACACTGTGGGTACCAAGATTGGCACTCATCTTGTGGGGAGGACTATGGATTTTTTACTTCAAGGGCTCCTGTGCCTTTGATCAGATATTTTTGGTAATGATGCCCATTTAGCCCATTCATTCCTTGTGTCCTGCACCGAGACTACATGGGGCTGTGCAGACAAACAACTCTCAATTCCTTCTCAACTAACTGCCTTTGGCCCGAGACAGATTCTGCAACTTTTGCCTCTTCTCTGTTCAGCATTTGGATAGTTAGTTACTTTCCTTCTCTTGTTCTTTCCCTTAAAATTGTTTTTAAAATCTTTTTATTCTTCGTTTAGAACTTCGTCTTCTTTCGGGTTATCTTTTATTTTGTAATTTTTTCCTTGGGAATGCTGAGTTCCCTGGGATTCAAGATGGGTGTCTCATGCCACGAGGCTATTCTAATCAGTGATGGCCATCCCCAGTGCCTTGGCTGTTTGGGTGATACCCATATGCCTAGTAAGTGCAAGATCTGCACATCCTTCAAAAGTAGATCCTGAAAAAAATAGGGGAATCAAGATTGAACTTCTAACGATAGAGCAAGCCTTACATTCAGCTTCAGAGCCAAGGGCAGAGGACCTCCCCCCCACCCCCCGTACATAGATCTCCCAGTACCAATAGTGCCCCGTCCATGCCAAGACTTCAGTCAACAGAGACCACTAGAAAGGTAGGAGGTACTGCAACATCAAGTACTTCTACAGTAGCAAAGTCCTCATCTGCCTCTAAATAGGAGGAGGTAGGGAGTAAATCTCCAAGAGAATCTCAGTCACCAAAGCACGAGAGAGCTACAGAGACCCCAAGGGGAGTTCCATGCAGGCTTAGAGTGATGCTGGTACTGCAAAGGCAAAGAAGAAAACTCAGTCTAAGACAGACTTGGTATCGAGTTTGGGTACCTGGATCCGAACTGGCAGAGACATAGGTGGAAAGAGTTATAAGCCTGTCCTAGAACAACACTCAGTACCAATATCAAGGAAGTCAACTGTACCAAAGACTGCCAAATCTCATATGGTACCAAGGGAATTGGGACTGACACAGTCCCAGGCCAGGCTCTCAGTGCCAATTACATTGATACAGAAACCATACTTCAGGCTTTCTCCCAGACCAGTCTCTACTATCAGTAATTCAAGAGTTCAGGTACCTAAGGACTCTGCTCTTCAGAGCCAGAGTCTCCCCTATTAATGAGTGCTGGGGTTTGTCAGTGTCAACAGCTGCTCAGTCACCACCCCCTGTATCACATAGGAACCATGCTTGCCCTCGTCGTCTTTGCAAGCTGAACAACTTCCCACCATACTCTGGAGTATGTGGAATAGGATGCTTCAGATTCTCAGATCTCTGTGCAGTGTTCCCCTGTCTATTCTAGAACTCATCACTATCCCTCCTGCCCTGATGTTTTGCAAGAGGATAGACCTCAAATGAACACCCTCCTGGCAGAAACACAGATGCCTCAACCTATGCCTTTTGGCCCCCCTCAGTGGCCTTTCTGGGATCCGTGGATGTTCTGTCACCAGAAATTTGTGATGAGGTCTTCACACCACCAGAGGGAACAGAGAAGGACCCATTCTCCTTAACCCCCTTTACAGCCAACCATGCCAGACGAAGAGACCTTTGAGGAACAAGGGCAGACAGGGAGGTAACACCTCTTATGAATGTTTCCTCTTCATCACCAGATGAAGCTGTCATGCCTCCACCACCTTCTGTGGAAGATGACTTCAGACCATTTCAGGAACTGATGACACAAGTTGCTGACATGCTTTAGATTCCCTTAGAGCAGCAGTTCTCAACCGAGCAGGTTTCAGGGGGTTCGCCAATTAGTCGGCACTAAATTTGCTGGGGCCTAGGGCAGAAAGCCAAAGCCAGAGCTCTGCCGTGGCGGGTCTGAAGCCTGAGCAGCTTAGCTTCATGGAGCCCCCTGTGGCGTGGGGCCATGAGCAATTGCCCTGGTTGCTACTCCCTAACTCTGACCCTGGCTTTTATATTTAGAAAAACAGTTGTTCCACATGTGGGCTCTGGAGTTTTTAAGCATATTGGCTGGGCCTCAGAAAGAAAAATATTGAGAACCCCTGCCTTAGAGGAGATTCAGGAGTCCCACCATAAGCTCCTAGACATCTTACACACCTTGTCATCGATGAGAATTGCCATTCAAGTGAATGAAGCTCTTATGGAGCCCTCTAAGACTGTTTGGCAAACCCTAGCTACAACACTGCCTACCTCCAACAGAGTTGATAAAAACTATTATGTTCCTGATGGAGAATCAGAGTTTCTGTTCTCTCACCCAGCTCTGAACTCCCAAGTAGTAGATGCGTTAATGAACGAGGTAGGCAACATAGCTCAAGTCCAGCCCATACAGCAAGGACCATAAGAGGCTCAAACTTTCTGGCTGCAAGTCCCATCAGCTATAACTACATTTTCTCAACCGTCCATGACCTCCAAGTGACAATTTTGATGATTTGGTCAAGAGTCTGAACCGTTCCCAGTTGAAGTGGATTTCCAGCTGCAACATCCTACCCCCTCCCTCCTTTCGGATGCCACCTCTCCCATTTTCAGGATGCATGCGAGCATATAACATCGGACAAATGGGTTTTGGAATCCATAACTTCTGGTTGCGCTATCC